CTTACATAAAATTGGAATCGTTGTGGTACCTTCCTCATAGTGTTATTCTGATGATTAAATTAGAATTATATACATATATGCTTTATGTATACACATACATATGCACACACACAGTGCTTATTAGATAGTAAGAGCTCATTAAATATCAGCTCTTGTTATCTGTTGATGCCATCAGAGAGGAAGTAGATCAACCATGATGAGCTGGTGTTCAGCCCTCTGCACCACTGTCTTGTTGGAACGGAAGTGGAGCCTCTGTTGGGAGCCATTTCTCCACCTGTGCTCAGGTCTCTTCTGAAATGGACTCTCGGGATTCCCTGGCTGCCTTTTCTACTGTGTCTTCCTATTCTCATTCTGGCTCCTTGCTGTCAGCATTTAAACATTCCCAAGTCTCCCATTGCCTATAAACAAAATAGCCAGCGAAAATTCTTCCTAGATGTCACCTCTCCCATTTCCTGCTCTTACCCTGTAACTTTTATTTATAACCAAGCTGTTTGACCTAAATATTGATACTTGCCTGTTTTATCTTCTCATTCTCATTCCTCTCAATGACCCAGTTCTACCACTTGACTGAGTCCCTTTCTGTGTTGTTGTTGTTGTTGTTAGAAATACTTCCTCCTATTTTAATACTCTCTGGCCTTATTTCATGTCTGTTTGAAATCTACTTCATCATCAATGTCTTGGGCTCTTCAGTTTTCTTTCCTTGCTCCTCTTCCTCCTCCTCCTTCATGTCTGTCCCTTGTGTCTCTGACTGAGGTGCTTATGTCTTCTCACCACACCTCCCTGCTCATCGCATCTGCTTTTACGGCTGCTTCATTTCTTTTGTACGATGCTCATGACTGTGACCTTCAGCTCGAACCTCTCTCCTGAAGCATGACCAAAAGTATATTGGGCTTTTCCACTGGGTGTCTGACAGCCATCTCCAACCTAGAACATGGAAAATAATATTCACTCTTCTTCTCAAACCTGCTTCTCCAGTGTTCCCAGGTTCAGAAAAAAATACCCGTCGTCCTTCATTAGTTGCTCACCTAGAAGCCTATTTGACTTTTCTTTTACCTGCTGTCCAATCAGCCACCACATCTCTTCAGTTATCCTAAATATACCTGTTCTCACGGTTTCCTCCACCACTTTGTTAATATCCTGGTCCCAGACACACTTTTTTCTCACTTGGATGACAATAGCATTCTGCTCTCAGATCTTTCTTCTCTAGTCTGGTTTCCCTCCAATTCATCATCCTACAAGCAGAGAAATCTTGTAAAAACACAAATCTAACTACTATCACACTTCTTAAAACTCTTCAGCAACATCTCATTGCCCTTGAAGGTCAGACTCCTTAAGAAGCCGGCCAAGCCCTGCACGTCCTCAAGCGTGTGGTTGACCTGGCCCCGCCCCTCTCCTGTGTGAGACTTGTGTCAGTTCCCTGACGAGGCCACCCTGCTGTCTCCTGTGTGTTCACACGGGCTGCCTCTGGTGGCTTCCACCCTGCTTTTCGGGGGGGCCAGCCTCTTAGTTTTTTTACATCCTAGTTTATACTCATCCTTTAAGCCTTAGCATAAATACCCTTTCCTCCAAAATGTCTTTCCAAGCCCTCGATGTGTACTATCATAGCACTTTCTTTTTGCCCTAGCAAAAGGATTCTAATTATGTATCTGAGTTCTGCTTTGACTTGTAACCTCTGGAAACAGTCATCACATTTGTGTTACCGCGTGACTGAGAGAAAAAATGTTTATGTGGTATGGATTGTTGCTGCCCTCCCTTCCTTCCTTCTTTCCTGCCTTCCTTCCTTCCTTCATATGATGAGTGTAGTGAGATCATGCCTTATGCTGGCCACTGTACTGGGGATGGGATTGCAGGACTGAAAAAGACAGGTAAGGGCCTTGTTCCTTTAGAGCTTAGAGTCAGGTGGAGGAGACAAATAGTAAACAAGGAAATAAGTAAGTGAATGATAGGATACTAGTAAGTACCATGAGGGAAATAAAATAGGAGCCTGTAGAATAATGGGGTAGGGGTCATACTAAATGGGATGGCCAGGGAAGGCCGATCTGAGGAGGCGATTTTGAACTAGGAGATGAATGATGAGGGGAAGCCAACTGTATAAAGATAAGGGGGGAATCACCTCCAGGAAGATGAAACCGTTTCTCTGGCCTTGTCACAGCCATGATGGAAGAACATCAAGGCTGGTACAGGTGGAGTGATATGAGGTAGGAAAGGAGGGGTGGGAGGTCATGGAGGGCTTTGTGCTCATGAAGGGGAGTTTGGATTGTATTTGAGGGTAGGCTTCTTTCCGGCTCTGGATATATGCTGTGCTTAGGCTCCAGCCAAAGGCAAGGTGTACAAGAAAAAGAGCCACTTGTGTTTCCTGGTGGGGCTGGGCTGTTGACTTGAGGCAGACATCCATGATCCTCCCAGAACATCACCTAACACTGCTTTGATCAAGGGAAGTAAGTGCTGATTACATGAGACGGTATGTATTTTTTAGAGCTGCCCAGGTATGTTTTATATGTCACAGGCCATAAACAGGTATGCATTTATAGTACGCCCAGATGGTGAGTGCCTGAGGCTGCTGCCCCAGTGATAGACATTTTGTCACTTTATTTTTGGGACACAGAATTGTACTGCTTACAAGAGAGCATTGCCAGGAACGTGGAATCCTGAGAGACAACATCCGATCCCCAGCATAGGAAGCTGAGCAGATAATGTTGACGAGTTATATTTTTAATCCTCTTTCACTTGACTGAACTTTGGTGACAAATGAATCAATAAAGGAGAAATCACAGGGTGTAGGAGCCTCAGACAAGACAATGCACGTGAAAGCACTTGGAATTATAAATGGTCATACAAGGCATAAGATCTTATTACTGTCGCTATAGCCCATTCTTGTTAACCGAATACCAGAACTGGTGTAAGATTTGAGACCATAAAGCCTGGATATCTTGACCCAGATGAGAAAATAGCCAATGCCAAAATACCTCTTTTCTAACCAACATGCGTGTGAACTTTTTTAGTAAACTTCGATGTGCATAAGCTAATTACATTCATTAATGTACTCAGCAAACACAGTACATGCTGTTGGACAGCCAGCTCCTTAGAGGCCCTCGGGACCAAGTAGTGTACTAGACAGATGCAGATGTGCCTTCGTGGAACCTAAAATCTCGGGTACACTGAATATGGCATATGTGAAATAATGATCACCTCTGTTTGTTTGTTTTTTATCATGTGGCTACCTTTTATAGATGTAAAGTATTAAAAGCAGATAAATACTTATAAGGATGTTGTATATTCTGAATGTCTAAAGTACATACTTTTTATTCCTTTGAACCAACCTTCCACTGGGTTTAAGTCTCTCTTGAATGCCTGTTGGACATGGATTTCTCCACCTCAGAGGTGGTAGGTGGCTCTTTAGGAGATGGGACCAGTAAGAGCTCAGGCTCTGAAGGCAGACTATCTGGATTTGAACTAGCCCTCTCGTGCCAATATGCTTGTGACTCAGTTTCCTCATCTGCAAAGTTAGGATAGTAATCGGTTTTTGTGAAGATTGAATGGAATGATACAGGCAACCTGTTTAGTGCCTGGCACCTTGCATATTCTAATTGAATGTGAACTGTGCATGTTCTGGTTACTGTCTTTCTGCCTGCCTTCTGCATCCTTACTGGAGTTACATAACCTTCTCCAGTTCAGCTGCCCAGCAGGCTCAGGGAAGTGTGCAGTGCTGGCTGTTTTCTGGGATGTGATAATGGTGCTGTGGGGAGTGTGTTTTTGACAATAGGCCACAAAGGTTTGAGAGCCTCTGTTGATGTGTCCTATTCACTCATTACCAGTTCTCTCAGGAGCGAACAGTTTGCAGTGGACTGTCCTTTGCAGAGTAAAAAAGGAAAAAGGCAATATTGTTTTATTCTGTGTTACCCTGAAATAGAGCAGAACTGGGGTGGGTGGGGTTTGGCTAAGAAGCCTTGAATAAAGCAGGCATGCTCTGAATAAATAAGCATGCTAACAAAATGACCATCAGCTTCCTGACACAATTTAACAGTAAGAAATATTTTGTATCAGATCTAGTTTACACATGTATGTATACGTACTCAACAGTCTGAAACTGAAAATTTCACAAAACAATACATACTCTTCTGTAATGCACCATTTTCTATTCCCTGTCATTCCATTTTGTTCCTTTGCATTCTGTGAAAAGAGACCCATAGTTTGAAAAATATTGATATAAGAAATCAGTGGACCTAAGAATAGGGGTGTGAGTAAGAAGAATTAGAGCAATAGTCCTCAGCTATACATTCTAAATATTTTCCTACTAACCTATCTGCTATGCAAACACAAACAAAAAACACCCCCAGATAATGGGGTACCTGGATGGCTCAGTCGGTTAAGCATCCAACTCTTGGTTTCAGCTCAGGTCATGATCTCAGGGTCGTGGGATCGAGCCCCGCATCAGACTCCACACTCAGCCAGGGTCTGCTTAAGGATTCTTTCTCTCCTCTCTCTGCCCATCCATTGCGCACTCACTCTCTTTCTCTCTAAAATGAATAAATAAATCTTTAAAAAAAACCCAAATAACAAAAACCAAACAAAAAGATGACTTGATATTTAGTTCTTAATGTACTTTTATGGAGGTTAGCTCAATTTGACCTTTTACAATTTGTCATCTTGTCTATCCCAGCAAAGTTGTGGACTCAACGTCATGAGGATGAAGAGTCAGTTCAGTGCAGCCAGGAAACCTTGCTGCTAACCTCTGGCTTTGTCCTTACTCACGCATTTGCCTGCCTTCTCGAGTCTCAGCTCAAGGGGATGGGAGTGGGGGTTATAATATTTATTGTATTTAAGTAATTAATTTAGTAACATCCCTTCCCTTCTCTCCTCCCCGTGGGTTGTTTGAGGGCTAGCTGAGATACATATTTGAAAAGGTTTTGTAAACTAGAGGGGTCTTCACAAATAAGAAGACTGTTGGGCTGTTAGACTCTGTATTTGTAATCTTCATCTTTTTACACAATTTCTTCTAGATTTCTCAGTTGAATACCCTGATTGCGCTTTTACTGGGAGAACTCCTACCTGGAGACCGTCAGAAGGTCATGACAATTTGTACCATCGACGTCCATGCCAGAGATGTGGTGGCCAAACTTATTTCTCAGAAGGCAAGTTCTTCATAGAAATGCCATGTCTTTTTTTGTTGTTTCCTAAAAGTGGTTTTTATTATCGAGAGTACTTCTGAGGAAGTCATTTTTTTATGTTGTGTATTTTTAATGAGTCCTATGAAGTTAGTTGTACTTACTAAGAGTGACTTTGATTTGAGTTAGCTAATTATCTTCATGAGAGTTAGCCCAAGTGGTATCCCACAGAGTTTCTCCAAGTCAGGAACTTCTAATACACATCATCCAAATAATTAACCCAGGATAGGAGAACCTCGTGAAGTCACCGTGTTCATTTCCTTGCCTTCAGACTTTTTGCATGTCATCATCTTGGTCCTTTGGCCTGTGATTATCACCTGTGTGGCTTCCCAGCCTGTGGCATAAAGATTGTCATTTAAACCATCTCTCTGTGCCTTTGTTTTGAAGAAAGACAAATACTGGTCACCCCTTGTCTTGTCTTTTTAAGCCTAATGACAGATTTTAGAGAAGTCATTTTCTAATCCTTCCAGGGCATTAATATCCTTCTTATCTCTTTACAAAGCCTATGTGTTTCTTAAATACTGGCAGTGTTTAATGTGAAAGAATTTTCTCAGCTTTTTTCTAAAATATGTTCCTACTTAGAAATGTCACAAGTGTGCTTGTCTCCTGAACAACGTTGACTTATCATGCCTATCAGCTACTTTCTCCACACCCCTTTTGTTGTCTCAGGGGGGTGGTACTCTAAAGCAAGACCGTTCCTTTCTCAATTTTGAATGCATGTATGTGTTCTGAGATGCTTCTTGTTGTTTTGCTAGTTCTTTTTCAATTTATTAAAATCAAAGTGAGTTTTAATTCTCTCCAGAGAGTGCAAGCAGTACTTTTTGGTGTAAGCCATAAACGTAAAAAAAAATTCTTCAAGTTCTGGACCTTTAGTGAATGATGTTGTTTAATTGCTAATCCAAAACTGATCCTTGCAAAATGCCACTTACCGTGTATTCTCATTTTGATAATGAACTATTGATAACTACTCTGAATATGACCTTGTACCTTCTTACATATTATGTTTTATCAGTGGTGATCACTTGCAGTAGGATAAATTACGATTTAAAACATGTCCTTTGTATTCAAAGAGGTAAAGACTTTGCCTAATTTCTGATCATTTAATATGCACAAATGTGCAGTGTTGACATTTATGTAGATGTCAGAACACATAGTATATAATAACTTTGGTAACTTAAATGGTCCCTGAGAAATCCTAGGGTCACAAATGTATGAGACTGAAATTATTTTTTCAAAATGGAAAAAAAATGGATAGGCAATAGCAATGAATAGCAATGAAACAAATACTGTAATCTGAGTGACTGAAAAACGAAGTGGGAAATCTCTGTCCTAAAAGTAAAACTGGCTTTAGAATGGACTTTGTTGAAGGTACAGTTTGTTGCTATCTCTGACATGCAGAAATTATGGATTATGTGTTTGACTACGGAGTGTATTTTTCCATCTGATTTCAATGATATGAGTATAAAGTTAGAAAAGTAATCAGATTCCCCTAGACTGATTCATAAAAGGGGCGAAAAAAGCCTTGCTTGAACAATTTGATGTTGTTTTACAGTAAAAGCCTTCTTAAAATGAAGACATGACATGTATTTCTGATTAAGTATTGAACCATTTACATGCAACTACAACATGCAATAGCATACAAGACATGGCCCTTTTGTGAGAGTATTAGAGATGCGAATCAGCAGGATTGATTAGATTAATAATTTGTTGCCTCAAAATGATCAGTGTCCTGTGTGTAATGATCATGTGATGTTTTCAGGTTGTCAGTCCCCAAGCCTTTGCCTGGCTGTCTCAACTTCGTCACCAGTGGGAGGACGTCCAGAAACACTGCTTTGTTAATATTTGTGATGCCCAGTTCCAGTACTTCTATGAATATTTAGGAAACAGTCCTCGGCTAGTGATCACTCCTCTAACTGACAGGTAAGAGTGATAAGTTGGATTCAGATGGGAAAAAGCGAGCCGGAAGAGTCCCCTAGCCTGGGTAAAGGTGTGTGAGATGGAACTGAGAGAAGTAAGAGAAAATGATGAACAAACTGGAAAGGTATGAAAGCTGTGTGTAAGTGAACTAATGAAGCGACACAGTAAATGTTGACTTTAGGTAGAGATAAGTTAAAGAGAACCAAATTAGAGAAGCAGAAGTATACTAGACTGTATATAAATCATGAAATCATGAGCAGATTAATGGGGAGGGCAGCACACTTGATCACTGAGTCCATTCTCTCTGATTATCTATGGCTAACATCCTGATTCCAGGGTTTGTACCCACCTCCCACCCCCGAATCCCTTTATCAAAAGTGTAAACATAGGAATTGCCTACATGCTGATTCATTTTTGAAGGGTTACCTACAGTGAAAGGAAGAAAAGAGTGGGAACATCTGTTAAATGATTTAACCAACACTTAGGAAGCACGGTGCTGAGTACTCCTCCAGAGTTAAACAGGCAGGGTTCCTGGTCTCGTAGAGTGCACTTTCTAGTTGACTGTGGCATGTGAGTGTCTGGGAATGAAGAGGAATGATAAACAAGTTAACCAAGTTATTTTAGATGATAATATATGCTATGACTAAAATAAAACAGGGTGATATGTTACACAGTATCTTGAATGGAGAGTCCACTATAGATTGTGTGAATTGGGACCTAAATGATACCGAGGAAGCTTTGCAAACATCCTGGGGCAGAAAGTGACAGGCAGAGACAAGTGCAAAGTTGCTAAGATTGGAAGGAGATTGGCCAGTTCAAGAGATGGATACAGAGCCAGAGCATGGAACATGTCTACACTATCTAGATCAATCTACACATTCAGTGCAATCCCTATCAAAATACCATCCACTTTTTTCAAAGAAATGGAACAAATAATCCTAAAATTTGTATGGAACCAGAAAAGACCCCGAATAGCCAGAGGAATGTTGAAAAAGAAAAGCAAAGCTGGTGGCATCGCAATTCCGGACTTCCAGCGCTACTACAAAGCTGTCATCATCAAGACAGTATGGTACTGGCACAAAAACAGGCACATAGACCAGTGGAACAGAAGAGAGAGCCCAGATATGGACCCTCAACTCTATGGTCAAGTAGTCTTTGACAAAACAGGAAAGAATGTCCAATGGAAAAAAGACAGTCTCTTCAACAAATGGTGTTGGGAAAATTGGACAGCCACATGCAGAAGAATGAAACTGGACCATTACCTTACACCACACAAAAATAGACTCCAAATGGAGGAAAGACCTAAATGTGAGACAGGAATCCATCAAAATCCTTGAGGAGAACACAGGCAGCAACCTCTTCGACCTCAGCCGCAGCAACTTCTTCCTAGAAACATCACCAAAGGCAAGGGAAGCAAGGTCAAAAATGAACTACTGGGACTTCATCAAGATAAAAAGCTTTTGCAAAGCAAAGGAAACAGTCCACAAAACCAAAAGACAATCAACAGAATGGGAGAAGATATTTGCAAATGACATATCAGATAAAGGGCTAGTATCCAAAATCTATAAAGAACTTATCAAACTCAACACCCAAAGAACAAATAATCCAATCAAGAAATGGGCAGAAGACACGAACAGACATTTTTCCAAAGAAGACATCCAGATGGCCAACAGACATATGAAAAAGTGCTCAACGTCACTCGGCATCAGGGAAATCCAAATCAAAACCATAATGAGATACCACCTCACACCAGTCAGAATGGCTAAAATTAACAAGTCAGGAAACGACAGATGTTGGCGGGGATGCGGAGAAAGGGGAACCTTCCTACACTGCTGGTGGGAATGCAAGCTGGTGCAGCCACTCTGGAAAACAGTAGGGAGGTTCCTCAAAAAGTTGAAAATAGAGTTACCATACGACCCAGCAATTGCACTACTGAATACCCCAAAGATACAAATACAGGGACCCGAAGGGGTCCATGCACCCTGATGTTTATAGCATCAATGTCCACAATAGCCAAACTATGGAAAGAGCCAAGATGTCCATCGACAGATAAATGGATAAAAAAGATGTGGTATATATGTATATATATATAATGGAATATTATGCAGCCATCAAAAGGAATGAAGTCTTGCCATTTGCAATGATGTGGATGGAACTGGAGGGTATTATGCTGAGCGAAATAAGTCAGAGAAAGACATGTATCATATGATCTCACTGATATGAGGAATTCTTTTTTTTTTTTACTTTATTAAAATACTGAGTTTATTTCACATGTATATTTTTGTCTCCCCACCATTTCCATTTGTCTGACCACCACTACTACTATGTCCTATCATAACATTCCATACATACTTAAACCAAGCAAAGGGTGGAGTTCCATCTTTAAAAACTAAACAGGCATTTTGGACAACACATTCTTGGCAATGGAACCTGGACAACATTTATCAGACATGGTAGGGAAAGTTCTCACTCTGCATCATAAAAAGGACAGCCAGATATCAACTGTTACAGAAATGAAATAAGATGGAAAATTTTAACAAACTGTTTAAACTATTTTCTTAAAGAGACTTCCTCCACTGCCAGAGATCCTGAATAGCCTCTTGGTCAGTCATCCGGAAGCAATTCTTCACATAATTGATGAACTTGGCTTCCACTTTGGGAAGAGAACCACCTTTTTCTATACTTGCTTGCATTTTTGCTTTAATGTCTTCTACAGAACTAGGTCCTTTCGGTGTTTTGGGCATCTTTTCCTGTTTTTTGAAAGATTCTTGACCTTTTGTTCTTGGTGTTGATGGTTTTGAGTCTTTTCCATTCTGGTTTGATTTTTGTGCATTTTTGGCTGGAGTATCTCGTATAGATTTCTTTACTGGAGCCTTTTCTTCAGCTTCCTCATCATCAAAATCATCATCATCATCTTCATCATCATCTTCATCTTCATCATCATCTTCATCAGCAGCAAGTTTTACTTTTTTCTGTGGAACCTTGCTACCACTTCCAGGGGCAGAACGCTTTCCAGATATACTAAGGAGTTTCACGTCCTCTTCATCTTCTGACTCTGCATCTTCCTCCACAGCTACTAAGTGCTGTCCACTAATATGCACAGGCCCTGAACCACATTTCAACTGTAAGACCACAGGTGGTGTTATTTCAAAGCCCCCAAGAGAAACCATTGGCTGTACAGACATTTTCAAAGTTGCCAGTGTGACTTTAATTGGACTGCCTTCATAATTCATTGCCTCTGCTTCAACAATATGCAATTCATCCTTTGCACCAGCTCCTAAACTGACTGTTCTTAAAGATAACTGGTGCTCATTTTCATCATTATCCACCTTAAAGTGATAATCCTTGTCAGCCTTTAGTTCACAACAGAACAGATAGTTCTGGGGCCTCAGGGGGCTCATGTCCATGTCCATCGAATCTTCCATGGGGTGGTGGCACGCACTTAGGTGGAAGAGAAGGTGGACGGAGATAAACAACTACTGTTCCACACAACAGCCACGCAGGATGGAATCACACCAGGGACGATATGAGGAATTCTTAATCTCAGGAAACAAACTGAGGGTTGCTGGAGTGCTGGGGGGTGTGGGAGGGATGGGGTGGCTGGGTGATGGACATTGGGGAGGGTATGTGCTATGGTGAATGCTGTGAATTGTGTAAGATGATAAATCACAGACCTGTTCCCCTGACACAAATAATACATTATATGTTAATTAAAAAAAAAAAAGATATAGAGCCAGTGTGGCTCAAGAATGTCAAGGGACAGGGGGTTACCATTATTGAAGTTCATTGCCACTTAACTTTAAGTCAGTATATACACACAGTCAGAATGCTGTAGAGATAAGGATCTGTCACATTAATAAGGAATTCCCTATCAGTATTTCAGCCTCTGCTGAATTACTTGGTGGTGGGGAAGCCCATTGACTCATTGGTATTCCTGAAAGGAAAAAAACATCTCAAAATCACAGGAGTGTTCCCAATTATGTGGTATAACCATACCATACAATTTATCTGGGAATGAAAGTGTAGACAGTTTTAAATATGTCAGTAAAGCTGGCTTCTGTTGATGGTCCTGGGAAGTCCGTGAAATTCTGCCACAAGCTTTGTGATTGTTCTTGTTTGTATTAATCTGCTCATGAGCTCATCACTGATAAATTGTAATTTTTTTTTTTTTTTAAGAGAGAGAGCATGTGTAAGCATGCGAGTGCAGGGGGAGGGTCAGAGGGAGACGGAGAAAGAGAATCTCTAGCATATTCCCTGCTGAGCCCAGAGCCTAATGTGGGGCTCGATCCCATGACCCTGGGATCATGACCTGAGCCGAAACCAGGAGTCAGACGTTTAACCAACTGAGCCATCCAGGCGCCCCTGTAATTGTTTTTCCAATTCACTTCTCTTTAACTTGTCTCTAACTGAAACTCAGTGTTCACTATCTTAATTGGTTAATTTATGTACATCTTCCAGTATGAGACATTAAAACTTGTACCTTGACAAAATCACTTGAGAATCGTCAAAATTGCAGACACTAAGAGTCTACCGCGTCCGCACCATGATAAATAAAGCTGAGAAGAAGGGAGGCACTGGCTGTAGGAGGAAGAGAGACACTTGAAAGTGTGCCAGTATGTGAGGACTAATAGCTTGTTGGCTTTTTAATTTAAAAAAAAAAATCACTGTGTGGTTTATTTGCAAGTTAAAAGGAAGCTGAATGTTCCTTTTGATGGAGTGAGTGGTGCTGCGAATGTTCACTTTGCATACATTTCTTTTCCATTTCACGTTTTGGGTCGTTTACTAGTTGTTTACCTTCACACAGTAATGCGTTTCGGACGTGCTGACTACATCTCACTTGACGTTGACCTTCCCTCTGTGGGGTAGGCGGGCTGCTTCCCCGTGTGGGCAGGTTGAGAGACGGAGGTCAGCGGCGTGTTAGGAGCAGGAGCACAGGTGGACTGCTTAGGAGCACAGAAGGCTAAGCTGTTACCGGGAGACCCAAAATAGAGCAGCTGCAGTTCCACAGAGGCTGGTGTGACACTTGGGTCACAGTCCAGAGGAGAGCGGTTCCGCAGTGTAGCCTGGCACGTGGCCGACATGCCACATGTGACTTCCACCTTCATGTCAGCCAGGGAACAAGGGCAAACCATCTAGACGGGGGTGTTGTGGGATTTGTACACGGCATCTCAGCATAGAGTATGTTGGTTGGAGCTTGGTCACTGGGCAGCTCCTGACTGGAAGGTGGTACGAAAGGTCATCAGCAGACAGACAGCCACGTGTCCAGCCAAAACTTGGAACTATGAGAAAAGATGCTGAGGGGATAGTCTGCACTATAAAAAACGCTGTAATTCCTAGTTCAGGGGGTCTTTCCGGTCCAGGTGCATTGTAAGGAGCAATTAAACATGTGCCGGCCATGAAATACAGAAACACTTTACATTTTCCTAAGGAACTGCTTCTGTTTGCATAGTACTCTGAATTTCTTAAGGCATCTACCTTGGGCATTCTAAATATAGACCTACAATAAACCTCATATTATGGAGGAGAAATCTGAGGCATGCTGATGTCAAAAGACTTATTTAAGGTTAACATCATCTCATGATTGGCAAAGTAGACCCTGGTCCCTGGTCTTCAGACCTCCATGTGAATGTCTTTTTATTAGATCCACTGTCTGTACTAAGACAAAATTAATTTATGGAAACCTCATAGTAGATCCTTGCTGTTTGTTAGTTTTTTCTTCTTTTACAAGTATCAAATTCTTGGGGCGCCTGGTTGGCTCAGTCGTTAAGCATCTGCCTTCAGCTCAGGTCATGCTCCCAGGGTCCTGGGATCGAGCCCCACATCGGGCTCCCTGCTCTGTGGGAAGCCTGCTTCTCCCTCTCCCACTCCCCCTGCTTGTGTTCCCTCTCCCACTCCCCCTGCTTGTGTTCCCTCTCACTATCTCTCTGTCAAATAAATAAATAAATCTTAAAAAAAAAAAGTATCAAATTCTTTTTGTTTTTTTTTTTAATTTTATTTTATTATGTTACGTCACCATACATTACATCATTAGTTTTTGATGTAGTGTTCCATGATTCATTGTTTGCGTATAACACCCAGTGTTCCATTCAGTACGTGCCCTCTTAGCCCATCACCGGGCTAACACATCCCCCCAGCCCCCTCCCCTCTAGAACCCTCAGTTTGTTTCTCAGAGTCCATCTCTCATGGTTCGTCTCCCCCTCCGATACCCCCGCTTCATTTTTCCCTTCCTACTATCTTTTTTTTTTTTAACATATAATGTATTATTTGTTTCAGAGGTACAGGTCTGTGATTCAACAGTCTTACACAATTCACAGCACTCACCATAGCACATACCCTCCCCAATGTCCATCACCCAGCCACCCCATCCCTCCCACCCCCTCCACTCCAGCAACCCTCCGTTTGTTTCCTGAGATTAAGAATTCCTCATATCAGTGAGGTCATATGATACATGTCTTTCTCTGATTGACTTATTTCGCTCAGCATAATACCCTCCAGTTCCATCCACATCATTGCAAATGGCAAGATTTCATTCCTTTTGATGGCTGCATAATATTCCATTGTATATATATACCACCTCTTCTTTATCCATTCACCTGTCAATGGACATCTAGGCTCTTCCATAGTTTGGCTATTGTGGACATTGATGCTATAAACATCAGGGTGCGTGTACCCCTTCAGATCCCTACAGTTGTATCTTTGGGGTAAATACCCAATAGTGCAATTTGCTGGGTTGTATGGTAACTCTATTTTCAACTTTTTGAGGAACCTCCCTACTGTTTTCCAGAGTGGCTGCACCAGCTTGCATTCCCACCAGCAGTGTAGGAGGGTTCCCCTTTCTCCGCATCCCCGCCAACATCTGTCGTTTCCTGACTTGTTAATTTTAGCCATTCTGACTGGTGTGAGGTGGTATCTCATTATGGTTTTGATTTGGATTTCCCTGATGCCGAGTGACGTTGAGCACTTTTTCATGTGTCTGTTGGCCATTTGGATGTCGTCTTCGCAGAAATGTCTGTTCATGTCTTCTGCCCATTTCTTGATTGGATTATTTGTTCTTTGGGTGTTGAGTTTGATAAATTCTTTATAGATTTTGGATACTAGCCCTTTATCTGGTATGTCATTTGCAGATATCTTCTCCCATTCTGTCGGTTGTCTTAGGGTTTTGTCGACTGTTTCTTTTGCTGTGCAAAAGCTTTTTATCTTGATGAAGTCCCAATAGTTCATTTTTGACCTTGCTTCCCTTGCCTTTGGTGATGTTTCTAGGAAGAAGTTGCTGCGGCTTAGGTCGAAGAGGTTGCTGTCTGTGTTCTCCTTTAGGATTTTGATGGACTCCTGTCTCACATTTAGGTCTTTCCTCCATTTTGAGTCTATTTTTGTGTGGTGTAAGGAAATGGTCCAGTTTCATTCTTCTACGCCATTAGTTTGTGATGTAGTGATCCATGATTCATTGTTTGCATATAACACCCAGTGCTCCATGCAGTACGTACCCTCCTTAATACCCATCACCAGGCTAACCCATCCCCCTACCCCCCTCCCCTCTAAAACCTTCAGTTTGTTTCTGAGTCCATAGTCTCTCATGGTTCGTCTCCCCCTCCGATTTCCCCCCTTCTTTTTTCCCTTCCTACCCTCTTCTTTTTTTTTTTTTAATTAACATATAATGTATTATTTGTTTCAGAGGTACAGGTTTGTGATTCAACGGTCTTACACAACTCACAGCACTCACCATAGCACATACCCTCCCCAATGTCCATCACCCAGCCACCTCATCCCTCCCACCCCCCTCCACTCCAGCAACCCTCAGTTTGTTTCCTGAGATTAAGAGTCTCTTATGGTTTATCTCCCTCTCTGGTTTGGTTTTGTTTCATTTTTCCCTCCCTTCCCTTATGATCCTCTGCCTTGTTTCTCAGATTCCTCATATCCGTGAGATCATATAATATACAAGTATCAAATTCTGTCTTTGCATAATTCTCCTCAGTCTGAGAACCTCGAATCTTTCCTGCAAAAATAGGTATTTTCAAAATCTAAATGCATGTGGCAACACATTCAAAATGAATTCCTGACATATATTTTAATGTAGCAAATTGTCATTTGTGTATTTGCTTTATACATTGAAATATGTATATATTTGCATACTCTGCATTTATGTGTATTTACATATCTCTTAATGTATTCATTAAATAGCAGTTTAATGAAGTCGATGTTTAATTCATTCATCATCCAAGATTTCTCTTCTGTTTTTCTTTTATAAACAATAGTTTGGAATGTCATCTGCCATATTAATAGTATCTCTGCCTAGACACATCAGAAATTCAGTAGCATTGGGAATCAAGTGTTACTTGTATTGATGCACAGTTCTTAGGAAATGAGACAAAGCAGTACATGCTTTATATTTTTAAATAGCCAACCTAAAATTGAATTTGGTATAAAATGTTATTCTGACTCTTGTTATTGCCGTGAACAAATCGTGGGTATATCAGTCAGTATTGTGTGTTAGTAACACATTCTAGAGCCTGACCTCTTAAACTAAGGAAAAAGTTAGATTGCCTCTAATGTTCTCTAAAAATCTCATATCAGACTGTAATATTTGTGCTGTCAATGGTTTAAAGGTGTTACATCACTTTAACTCAGTCACTTCATTTAACCATGAGTGGAGCTCCAGCTGGCCCAGCTGGTACAGGGAAAACCGAAACCACCAAAGATCTTGGACGAGCCCTTGGCATGATGGTTTATGTATTCAACTGCTCAGAGCAAATGGACTACAAAGTGAGTGAGTTAGAAAATGTTACATTCTAACAATGTTATCCCCGATTTGGAATGATTGAAACTAAGAGCTCAAAACCCTCTTCTGTGAAATTGTTAATGCCTTGCTCTCTGATTTAGTCCATAGGAAATATCTATAAGGGATTGGTGCAGACAGGGACTTGGGGCTGCTTTGATGAGTTCAATCGAATTTCTGTGGAAGTCCTGTCTGTGGTAGCCATACAGGTGAAACTGATACACAGCGCCATCAGAAACAGGAAAAAGAGGTGAGTAGCGCCTGGCTTCTTTCTGTTGTTACAGACAGAGAGGAACATGAAGTAAGGCAGTCAGTCTCATCCTGCCCTTCTCTTTGATGCCTTTCCCTGTCTCAGGAAATGGATAAAAGAAGAGATACTGGTTTATTTTGAAGAATGAGTTTGAATAACCTCTCATTTTTTATTAGTGTTTTTTATTTTTTATTTATTTATTTTTTTTAAGATTTTATGTATTTATTTGACAGAGAGAGACACAGCGAGAGAGGAACACAAGCAGGGGGAGTGGGAGAGGGAGAAGCAGGCTCCCCGCGGAGCAGGGAGCCCGATGCGGGACTCAATCCCAGGACCCCGGGATCATGACCTGAGCCGAAGGCAGTCACTTAACCGACTGAGCCACCCAGGCGCCCTATTAGTGTTTTTTAATTGTTGAGTACAACAAGAGCATACTACATTAATACTGAAAAAAATAAACACCCTTGACAGTGCTGAATCCAGTTACCAGTTCTCAGTCATGATCTGACTTGACCTTCTGGTGACATTGGACACACCTGGTCCCTCCCTTCTGCAGGGCACACTTCTTCACGTAGGTTCCAGGACACCACCGTCCTCCTGGTTTTCTCTCACCCTCAGGGATGCTCCTGGGCTGATTTTTTCTCCTCTACAAATTTGGCAAACAGTGGCTACCATAAGGATGACGATGATAACTAAATACAGAGCACTTGGACAAGTGTCTGACACGTAGCAAGCACTGTGTCAGGGTTTGCTGTTATTTTTTCTTGTTAGTATTTCCTGACCTTATTAATACTGGATGCCACAGGCCTCAATCTTTGGGTCTCATTCCCTTCGTGATTTCACCCCATCACGTGGCTTTGAGAACCATCTGTTTGCTGCTGGCTGCCAGATGCCCAGACTTTGTTTCCCTGATACCTACACCTCTGAAGACTGTGCCTGTAGGAGCATCTCAAGACTCCACTTGATGTCGTGTGGGCCTCTTAGATTTAATAGATCCAAAATCAAAATCCTGGTCTCTCCAGCAACACCTGCTTGCTCATTGTTCCCTCACAGTGGGTTACACCCACGCACTCTGCTAGTTCCTCAGTTACTTCAGAAACTTCCCAGTATCTCTAGAGCCTAAGAACTTCTCAACATGATACCATACTCTAAAAGATAAAACATGACTGGCACTTGGGGTCTGATGGCTTAATTTGAGAAATAAGTATTATAGAGGCGTCTGGGTGGCTCAGTCAGTTGAGCATCTGACTCTTGGTTCTAGCGCAAGTCATGATCTCAGGGTCATGAGGTTGAGGCCTCTGTCAGGCTCCGTGCTCAGTGGGGCTTCTGCTTGTCCCTTTCCCTCCCCCTCTCTGCCTCCCTACGATGGCTCTATCTCTGTAAAAAAAAAAAAAAAAAAAAAAATTTTAATCTTAAAAAATGTAAGTATTATAGTACTCAATTGTGTTTTTCCTTGTAACATTTTTGTATACAAGGCAATCACGTTTTTCTGGCCTACTCACTTACCCCCCTTCTTAGGGTATTTTGCTCAGCCAGCTATCTTGTCCACAGGAACATTTCAGTCTCCCAGTGAGGGAAGGATTATCTAGCCTATTGAAACTATGACTCTATTATAGAGGTTTCCAGTTATTGTAGATAACATCTGGATTTTTCCACCTCCTAGAAAACCTCTCCGTTCTTCTGCATGGCTCTGGGATACCAGTTGCCTGTGACCACATGTCTGCTACTTACCTGCCCCTATTCTAAGGCCATGTTAGAGAAGCTAGATTCTTTCCTCTTTGACAGCCCCCCCCCCAGCCTATTTTTAGTTTTTAGTAAAAATCTTACCATTTCATGTAACCCAGATGTCATTTGAGACCATCCTTTCTGATGGAGATTTATATAACTGATCCATGCAAGGACTTCTGGGCACTCCCAACCATACTCGTTGATAGTTTCCTCTTTGGCCATGTCTGTGTATATGTGAATTGTACCTGTTCATCTCATGCTAGCCCATGGACAGATGGCTAGGCTTCTTCATGATTCCATGCATTTTATTACGTGCTCTTTGTATCTGAGGACTTAATCTGTGGGACCATGCCTCAGGGAAGCCTACAAGCATCTTGCTGGCTCTGCCCCCTCCAAGTCCATACTCTTGATTGGGGCTATTCCTGCTGTGTCTCACGGGAGAGCAGTCGGGGACCCTGTTATAGCAGGCCTGTGTGCCTTCCCGGGCCGGCGAGGCTGGGAATGAAGGTTTCTCCATTCTTCCCTTGGCTACACAAAATCCATCATCCATTAACTGTCTAGTATCTAAGAAGCTCTTAGTCCTAAAAATTGTGACTGTCTCTTTTTGCTCTCTATGCTGTGACATCGGCCCAGCTCTTTGACCATTTCAGCCCTTCTCTTTCACAACAAGAGAAAATCTTATACTTTGTCCTTAACCCTCATTTGAAAGTTTCCTTCTACTTGTCCTTCACTTTGGCTCCTCCGTCCCTTGCCCCTTCCATTACCCTGGCCATCAGCAGTCTAACTGGGCCCTTGCAGATCTTCCTACAAATCTTTCACTGCTTCCCTCATGCCGTCATAGCTAACATCTTTTGAGTATTTGCCATATTCTAGGCATTGTCCTCTTAGCCATTTATATGCATAATCTCTTTTAATCCTCCTATAATCCCATAACGTGGGTAATATTCTTATCCACTCCCCCTTTCCTTCTTACAAGATGAGGGAATTGGCACATGTCTAAAGTGATAGAGCTGGTCTCTGAACACTCACCATCTGGCCCCAGAGCTCGCAGTCATAACCACCACGCTATTCTGTCTCTCCGTGGTAGTCGACAGATACTTGCTGAATAAAAGGGAGGAAGGGTGGGAGGGAGTGAATGGGGGAGGGTTAGCAAATAGGCGAAATGAAGACTGAACAAAGAAGCCACTCTCTCCTCTTAACATGAGTATTTTCTATCTTCGCAGTATCCCATTCAAGGAATCGCAGCCCACAATGAAGGCAGAAATGACATCACCTTTCAATAACTGTTAAAGTAGTCAAGTCCTCATTTTTATATTCCAGCCTATATGGCTGTGCTAAAATAGAAAAGAGTACTTGCCATATTTGTAACTCTTGGCAGGGAAGGGAGTGCATTTTTTAATAAACATGCTTCAAAACCTCTCCAGAATATGCATGCATATGAGTTTTAAAGAAAATCACCGGGAATCAACAGCTCCCTAATAATAATTTGCATTTTGCAGTGGTTTGCATTTGTCAATGTGTATTCACATTCAGGGACCCCATTTAATTCCGTCAACATTCTTCTTGCGGTAGATTTGTATTTCTGGGGGAAGCCGTCACACTGAAGCCATCAGTTGGAATATTTATTACTATGAACCCAGGATATGCTGGTCGAACCGAATTACCGGAAAATCTCAAAGCTCTTTTCAGGCAAGTGTTAAGCTTTGTGGTTTAGCATCTGGAACACTCATGCCACCTAACGTTGCTGGTTTGCACTGTTAAATGATTTGTTTTTCCTTGAGAATTCCTATGGAAAACCCTGATTATTTCTTTGGGATTCCCTGATAGGGAGAACTTGCATCATGATAAATTAACTCTTTTGAAATACAAAGCCAGAACTTAAAAATCATTACTTAAAAGTTACATGGTACGTTTGAACACTTACTACCAGCTCTTTTGTAATAATATTTTTATTATTATTATATATAATATCAAAGTTTTTACCAGTTATGCAATATTTGGAAAATATAGAAAAGAATAAAGAAAAAGTGACAGTTTTACTACCAAGAAATGATGATGGTTGTATTTTTTTCTGGTCTCTTTTATAATTTAGATTTCATGGAGTTAAGATACGAGGTTAGGTATGATTTTTATTTCTTATTTAATATTTTGACATAAGCAGTTGATCGTATTATTGGAAATTCCTTGGAAATGCTCTTCTGTGTAGCTTCAAAATAGTCTCTCTCATGGCTTCTCCATAATTTTCTTAACCATTCCCTATTGTCTGACATGAAGGGTTTGTGTTTTTCTTTTCAGTTTTTCCTGATCAGAAAAGAGCAGGCTATAAACATCTCTTCACATGAAGAGTTACCTATTTCAGATTATTGCCCAGAACAGATACCTACCTGTGGAACTACCCGGTGAAAGATTAAAATATCTCTTGATGACCTGTTTTCCAAAAATATTTCACCAATATATACACTTATTAACAGTCCGTCAGAGAAGCTGTGCTATATCTGAACCAGTTAGGTTTAACTCCTATTGTAAATCAGCGTTGTTCAGCTGTAATTTCCTGTAAGAAAATACATGTATCTAAGGGTACAAACTATGAAAACATCACCACAATCTAGGTACAGAATATTTCCGACACAACTGGAAGTTGTCTTGTGCCTCTTTGAAGTGAATCCCCCATATACCCCAGGATGTGCCTTTTGGGCGCTGAGATTCAATTTGCCTTTCCCAGAGTTCATGTCAAGTGAAACCATACAGTGCGTACTTGTTTGTGTTAGCCTCTTTCCTTGAACATTAAGGTGTGCGGATTCCTCCAAGTTGAGTGTCCCAGTAGTTCCTTTTTGTAGCTGGTTAGTATTCTGTTGTGGAGACATACTACATTTGGTATATCCATTCACCAGTGATGGACATTTGGGTTGTTTCCACTTGGGGGCTCTTAGGAATAAAGCTGCTTTGAACATTCATCTATGATCTTTGTGTGAACATACCTTTTGTTTTGGGTAAATATTTATGAATGACAGTCTCATGGCAAATGCGTGTTTGACGTCGTCAGAATCGGCCCATCTGGTTTCTAAGGTGGTTGTGCTGTTACAGTTTCACCATCAGCGTGTAAGAAGTCCACGTGCTCTACATTCTTATCAAAACTTAGCATATTTAGTCTTGTTAGTTTTAGCCCATCTCATAGATGTGTAGTGGTACGTCATTGTGGGCTTAGTTTGCTGCATTTCCATGACGGCTAAGGAGGTTGAACATTTTCTCGCAAAGCATGCTGGCCATTCCCACACTTTCCTTCTGTGAAGTGCTGTCCTGTGTGTGCTTCCTTTGTTAAGTTCATATATTGCAAATATTTTTCTCTTAACTTGTAGCTTGCTTTTTAATGTTCTTAATGGTATCCATCAAAGATAAAGTCTTTAAATTTGATGAAATGCTGTTTATCAATTTGTTTTTTAAAATAGGCTAGTGAAGAATGTTTGACTAGTCCCACGTTGCAAAAGTTTTTGAGTATGTTTTCTTCCAGAAGTTTTGTTACAGTTTTCATGTGGTTTTCTCCTTCTTTGTGTTAATGTGCTGGATGATATCGATTGATTTTTCAAATGCTAAACAATTCTTCAGTGTTGCATTCCTGGGATAAACTCCACTTGGTCAGGAGTTACCATTTTTGTATTTGTTGCTGGGTTCAATATGCTACCACTTTGTTAAGGATTTTTAAATCTATGCCAGGTGGGATATTGGTCTGTAGTGTCCTTTCTTGTAATATCTTTATCTGGTTTTGGCATTAGGGTGATGCTGACCTTGTATAATGAGTTGGCCATTTTCTTGTCTGTTTTATTCCGAGTTTGTGTAGGATTGGTATTATTTACCCCTTAAATATATGATAGAATTAATCAATGAAGCCATCTGGGCCTAGATTTTTCTTTGTGGCAGTTTTTTCATTGCTAAACTCCATTTTTTTAATAGATACAGAGTCATTCAGATTTTTTCTCTTCTTGAATTAGTTTTGATAATTTGCATCTTTTAAGAAATCTCTTCACATTATCTAGATTATTGAATGCATTGGCATTAATTTGTTCATGATATTCCCTTATTATCAGTAATGAGGTCCTGCAGTCCGTGTGTGTCCTGGGTCATTTGTGTCTTCTTTTCTTGCTTTGTTGAGCTAGAGGCTTATCCGTTACATTTTTAACCAGCTCTCTGGTGTTCACAGTCTGTATTGTTATTCACTGTCTGCCTTCAAAAGGATACACTACTTAACATATAATGTGAGAGCCTCTAGTTTTTAGTATGATTTCTCTTGATTCTCTTAAGCTTAAAATTTGCTTGTCCATCCATCTATTAAACCATGTTTCATTTGTATTTTCTTCTCATTTTTATACTTTTTAAATGTACTTTCTTTATTGAGAACTTGTTTTGGCAGATAACAGGAGTATTTAAACTGAATTCTTTTCCCAAACAGTCAACTACTCTAACATGATTTACCAAATGTTTTCCTTTCCCCCGAGACCTGCTTTGTCTAGCATAGCAGCTCTATCATGTCTGTTTTTCTTGAAAAACAATTTTAGAGAATAATATCCTAGCAATGTCAAGATTATAGAATACTTTCATTTGAAAATTTGAACCCCTATGCAGTATTTTTACATTTGCGTCCCAGTTCATCTCCTACCTGTTTTCACTTAGGTCTTTTTTTTTTTTTTTTTTAAGATTTTATTTATTTATTTGACAGAGAGAGACACAGCGAGAGAGCGAACACAAGCAGGGGGAGGGGGAGAGGGAGAAGCAGGCTTCCCATGGAGCAGGGAGCCCGATGTGGGACTCGATCCTGGGACTCCAGGATCATGACCTGAGCCGAAGGCAGTCGCTTAACCCACTGAGCCACCCAGGCGCCCTCACTTAGGTCTTAAAATTTGAAATTATTTGGTGACGTTTCCGTAAATTTGGTTTAACCAAGGGCAGCATCATTACTGTTGGGATGCTAGTACTTGCATCAGCAAAGTTTGAAGGACAGCTTGGAGGATGCAGGTAGCATTCATGAGTGGAGGCAGCAGCGTGCCTCAGCCTTAAGAGCACCATGATTCTACCCCTGACCTGCCATGGGGCCTGGGGCATGTGCTCACCTTGCTCAGAACCTTGGCCTGCATCTCTGCACAATACAGGTGAGAAGAGTAGCCACTTCCTGGAGTTGTGAGAATAAGGGAGAGAGTGCATGAAAAACTTTTAACACCCTGTACAGGGTCAAGAAAATACTCAGTAAACACAAGTTCTCAATATTAATGTACAGACCAAGCAAGTCAATTGGCTACCTTTTCTGTCCCCTATTTCCTGTTGATCTTTACTGCTTCTATTGTATGACAGAATACAGAATGTGGGGAAAATGTGGGCTTAGTTTAAATACAAGTACTTAACGGCACAGATCCAATGAAATTTAGGCATGTTCACCATGAAAATTAGGTATGCATGAAGTGGACTGTAATTATATTTACAAGAGCAGGTGGATAAATATTACTGGACTGTGTACTTTACGAAGTCTAAAATCACAGGCTTGCTTACTTGGTTCCTTCTTTGCAGTTCAGTTAAGTGAAATTTTTTCAGATGCTGCTTTAAATGGCAGTGGTCTTTGGGGAAGACTTTCTGGAGGTCCCCCTCCAAAAAGGGGATTTGAACGTTATGTTTTGGGAACATCTTAAAAGTCTAACCAAGCTGGCTTGAGGCAGTGGTATTCCAGAACTGGCCTGTACCACCTTGAAAGAGCTGATGGTTAAATTTTCATGAAATTTTTGTGTTTGTTGCTAAGCACGGCCACCGCTAGAAACTAAATTATATGGACGTATGGTTATATTTAAAACAAAGGTGACGAGTACTGCAAACACATCACTGCCTAATTGAATTTCTCTATCTCGTTAATAGTGATGCTCTTAGGTCCTTTCTATTTTTTCTGCTTGGCGATGTGCTACTGGGCATCTCTTCCCAGGCCCGTGCTTAGTGATGTGTTGATAGATGGAAGTTAGCCAGGGTGGAGGTGTTTATTCCATGGAAACCAGCAGCTGCTCTATTTTGGAGAGCTGGTCATTAAACATTGACCAGCCTAGCTCTGGCCATGGGTAAAGGTGGCCTCTAGCCCCAAATATCACTCCTCTTTCTGCAGTGACAACTTGTAGGAGTTTACTGGATATACTACAGATTTCCCTTAAACTCCTACACCCATTCTTCTGCCTTTCTCACACATTCCATAGTTTTCTACATATCTAGAAACAAACGGGACATTTTTTAGTTGAAGTGAGGGGTCTTGTTAACCGTGACGAACAGAGGTAATTGTGAGCTGCTTGGGAATGGTAAGAATGTGGATACAAATTAATCAATTGATTTCGGCAATGTGTACTTACTACCTGATGACATAATAAAGCTAAATTTCTTACTTACTTTTTAGGCCCTGTGCCATGGTGGCCCCTGACAGTGAGCTAATCTGTGAAATCATGTTAGTCACTGAAGGGTTTGCAGACGCTCGCTCATTAGCCCGCAAGTTCCTTACGTTGTACACGCTCTGCAGGGGGCTTCTCTCCAAGCAGGTGAGGGGCTTTTTGTTCCTTTGGCTTGGTGTTTATATCCCATTAAAACTGCTTTGGAAATATAGATGCTGGGTAATTTATCACTCACATGACGGTTAGACATCTTGGAGTAATTTTTTATTTTCTAGAAAATTTTGAAAATCTTTATTTTACGGTTTTAATTTTTTTTCTAAAATTAAACTTGAGACATTTTAGGTTGACCTTTTTTAAACGATTTTATTTATTTGAGAGAGTATGGGGGGGAGGGGCAGAGAGAAGCAGACTCCCTACTGAGCAGGGAGCCTGACCCCGACCCACCAGCCAGCTGAATCCCAGGACCCCAGGATCATGACCTGAGCTGCAGGTAGACACTTACCCGACAGCCACCCAGGCGCCCCTTAAGTCGACTGTTTTATTGGTACTTCATGTAATTTTTATCAGTGGGCTCTGTGATTTTCTTTAACCTTCAGCAATGCTGTAATTATACATGGAATTTTATGATGTCTCCCTTTCTTGGTGAGAACATTATTTTCTAGTAAGAGATGGCAGTTCGTAAGAATCAAAAGAAGCAAAAGCTGATTCTCAGAATCAAAAGAAGCAAAAGCTGGGGCGCCTGGGTGGCTCAGTCATTAAGCGTCTGCCTTCGGCTCGGGTCATGATCCCAGGGTCCTGGGATCGAGCCCCGCATCGGGCTCCCTGCTCAGCGGGAAGCCTGCTTCTCCCTCTCCCACTCCCCCTGCTTGTGTTCCTGCTCTCGCTATGTCTCTCTCTGTCAAAAAAATAAATAAAATCTTAAAGAAGCAAAAGCTGATTCTCAGAAGAACCCCTCAAGAAATTTTAAATTAAAATTTCTCTCATTTTGCTGGTAATGTTTTATTTGAAGGTGGGGTTGGCTGTTTTTTGTTTTTACTTTTGCTCTACAAGTCCCTAGTCTCTGAAGTGGGTCAAACATACTCTTTACGCTCCTCACTACCTTGGTTGTTTTTTTTTTTTTTTTTGGTATAGTTGAAAATGATGCTACATTCGTTTTAGGTCCACAGCAGAGTAATTCGATATGTCTACCTTTGGCTGTGCTCACCGCAAGGGTAGCTGCCATCTGGCACCCTATAAGACTGTTCCAGTACCACTGATTCTTCCTTGTGCTGTGCCCTTTATTCCTGTCCAGTCCCGGGCTGCTTGCTGTTTCGCCAAAGTTGCTGATATGTTACAAATGACATAGGTTATCAGCCTCCTGATTTTTAAATTCAGCTTTGTGGTCACCTCTGACTTTGGTCTTTTGATGACCGTTCATTAATTCCTGGTGACATTACTTTGCAGCTTTTCCAGCGTGGAAGTATTAAAATGCCACAGTTAGAACCACATAGTTACCTGTACTGACAGGTGTACTCATTTTAAATTACCTGTTGTTGAGGTGGAATTGGGATCTGAGAGAGAGATTCATGTTGTCATTTTAATAACTGTAAATCTACATGCTGGGGGGAAATCATAGCGAATTTAATGGTATGGAAAAATGTTGATGGCAGCGTTGCATGCAGAAAACAGCATTCCAAACTTGATGTGATGTACAACTTGCATGTGTTTTCTTATTTTAGACTCTGTGCATTTTATATATTTACTTACGTGTGTGTGTGCCTGGAAAATATATTGTGATTTTTAATTAGTGTCTCTGGGTAATAAGACTATTTTTTATTTTTCTCCCTGTTTGTAGTATCCTTTTTATTTTTGCAAGGAGTTCATTTTAATTTTATAATGGTCAGAAGTCAGAAGAAAAGAATGTCATTGAACCCAGGCAACACAGAGTTACAACCACATCCATTCCCAATGGTCGTATTTAAACATTTAGTGAGCATTTCCTATATCCAAGTATTATGTTTGTTGCTGGAGATGATGAAGAAAGTAAACAAGAGCAAATGAAGCAAGTGCACTCAGATTTCTGAGTGCAGAGAACTTAGGAGACTCAGTTTACGTGAAATAAAAATGAGAAGAAAATGAAGGATGAGACAATGATCATGGTTTTAAGAGGAAGGTGTTGGGCATAAAGTTAGAACAATCAAGGGAAGTGCTCTCCAACTAGACGAGTGTCATGGATGAGATGAGGGAAGGCAGGGAGACCAGGACAGAAGGGCTGAGTTAGGAACAGTCACTGATATGTTTCTAAGCTGTAGGAATAGATTTGAGAAGAACCAGTGGACATTTTTAAAAAAATAAATAAATTTACTTATTTGTTTACTTTTGAATGCAAGTGTTGAGGGGGAAGGGGCCAGAGGGAGAGGGAGAGGGAGAATTTCAGGGAGACTCCCAGCTGAGCATGGAGCCCGATTTGGGCTCTCTCACGACCCTGAGATCATGACCTGAGCTGAAATCAAGAGTCAGATGCTTAAACCACTGAGCCACCCAGGTGCCCCACCAGTGGACATTTTTTTAAATTTAATTTCATTTTTATTTAAATTCAATTGGCCAACATACAGTACATCATTAGTTCCAAAGTAGAATTCAATAATTCATTAGTTGGGTATAACACCCAGTGCTCATCACATCCTGTGCCCTCCTTAATGCCCATCACCCAGTTACCCCATCCTCCCACCCTCCTCCCCTTCAGCAACCCTCAGTTTGTTTCCTATAGTTAAACCAGTGGACATTTCTGACTAACGGAGTGACATAATGAAAATGGTGAAGGTTATTGTAGTACTCGTTGCATTGACATGTTTAGGAGGGTCACCAACTTCTCTTAAACCTCTGTCCAGAATTTCTTCTACCTCCTCTCCTTTAATGTTCTTACTGCACTGACTAAGCCCCCTTCCCAATCTCTCTGGCTTTCACGCTCTGGTCCTTCACCCTTTCCACTTCTCCACAAGCCCTAGTCTACTTTTGCATCAGTGGCTCTCCATGACCCAGCATATAAACTACTACTTCTGCTGAGACTCCAGACACACCCATGTATGTCATATGCACGGCTGTGAAACAATTTTCACCCGACACTTCTTACCCTTCCTATTTGCAACGCATTCTGGAATGTTTCATTCTATTCTGTTCTATTTTATTACCAGCAGAAGTGATGGTCAAGACCTACTAAATTGAATTTACTAATGCACTAATGGATTGAAGAACATATTTATACATGGATATATTGTTTCATTGCCCACAAAGCATTAACTCATTTTGTTCCTACAACAGCCCTGTAGAGTGGTTAGATTCTTTTATGTGCCTTTTTATAGATGACGATACTTGGAGAGGGTGGTGATTTTCCCACAGGCATAGTTGGGAGATAGTTGAGAGAAGGGTTCTCACTCTGTGGGTTGTAGATGAAAGGCAAAAGACAGTAGGCCTGTTGTATATGATCAGTCCGTTAATTCATTGTCCCTTTACTGAGCACCTGCCCTGGGCAGTGCCCCATGCTGAGACCTAGAAGACAAAAGGGAACAGATCTGGGCTCTGTCCTCCAGGAGCCCCGAGCCTGTGAAAGGCATCTTCCATCGGGATTCTGTAAAAGTCTCAAAGCAGAGTGGTACTATTTTATCACTGAATTTTAATACTAGAGCTTGGACTGTATTCAACACCAACATCGGTGCTGGCGTGCCCAAGTGATGAAGAGGTAGAGTCCTTAGGACGAATAGAGATCTGGGGCTGGGAGGGATGGACTCACGGGGCCATGTTTGGAGGTGAAAACGTGCAGGTCATTCAACTCCTGAGTTAGGAGGTTTCTGGGGGGAGAAGAGCCAGGAAGACGGCTGGAGCCTGGGGCACACGCTGCAGCTCAGTGCTTTGGGCAGAGCTCTGCAGACAGAGGTGAAGAGCCAGGGGGAAGAGGCAGGAGGAGACTGAAGGGACATGGTTTTCACAGTGGAAAGAGAAGAGGGAAAACACTACTTCACATCCTTAGAGCATGGATTTGTCTGAACTCTTTCCTTAGAGCTTTTGGCTTCTACCCCTGGAATGAGAAACTTACTGCCTCATAAAATGTTTGAGAAAATATAACCTATGTTTTGATTTTTAGGATCATTATGACTGGGGACTTCGCACTATTAAATCTGTCTTGGTTGTAGCTGGCTCCCTGAAACGAGGAGATAAAAATAGACCCGAAGATCAGGTACCGACCACAGTGCTAACTTGGTTTTGTGGCGTGAGTAGCTCAACAGCTTCACAGAAATGAGAGTATACACCCGGATGGTGGGCCATGCCTAGCGCAACTTTGAACAAATAGAATCTCTGTTTCACATAGAATATCCTGAGGACTGGCATTTCTTATGTTATAAAAGATAACTATTCTTGAGTATAAGGATATAAATACAGGAAAGAAAAGGGGAATTTCTAGGTGCTTTTGAAATATCAGCTACAAAAAATATTTTGGCAGTCATAATCAAATAATTCAGCAATCACTGGTTGATTTCCTCTGAGGAACATTTAGAGAATCTGATTAATTGATTTGGGAAATTAATCCTGAAAAGTCTGCGAACACATGATCTCATGGAGCAAAGTGTGTTCCTCTCATGGGCTGTACGATGAGCGTGAGGAATGGAACAGGCAGAATGGTCGCCTGACACCAGTGAAATGCTCAGGTGATTAGTCAGAGCCTCTGGGGCAATGTTCTATCCCTGCTGGTGAGAAACAGTAACAGCCTTCTCTGAGTTTTTCGGAAGCGTTTTTCCTTTATTACAGAGTGAGAATAGTGGATATGCAACACTGTACATATTCTGTACGGCTTGAGAAGCTGAAAAAATCTATTCCTATGAGTTTCTTTTCACGTTAAAGGATACTTACATAATTTTCTACTTCCATAATACTTCTTTCTCTTCCTCTCAGTCATAATTAACCACTGGGTAGGGATTTTCTTGCATTTCTTTGCTGTGTTGTTACTGTTGGATTGCTTACCTTTCTGTAAAAGTCATGCTGATGTTCAAGTTACTGCTTTTAAAATCTAAAGCCCTCTTTGGTTTTCAGCCAATACAGAACAAATACGCAAACTAAAAATGGTTCAGTTTATCACTCTGAGATTCTCAGAGATTCTCTTTGAACAAAATGATCCGATGGGCCTGGTTAATTTGTATCCTGGAGTCTGGGGATCAAGGAGGGAAGGGCCTCAGACTCTCTGTCAAGATCAAAACAGGGAGTTGCAGGAACAGAGCCTCCTTCCTGACTTGAGTCTGAGGTTTGTGATATCCGCAGAGCCTTCTCGTGTTCTGATATGTGAACCTGGAAGCATTTACCCTTCCTATAGATAGAGTGCCATCCTCATGGAGGACCAGTATCAATATCCCATGCTTTAGATTTAAGGTTTAAAAATAACATCTTCAGTTGTCAAGCTGCTTATTACACCCTGTATCAGCTTCTTCAATAAAGTGTTTTCTTTCTAGGTACTCATGAGAGCATTGAGGGACTTCAATTTGCCTAAAATAGTGACCGACGACATTCCTGTGTTTCTGGGCCTGGTTGGTGACCTCTTTCCAGCCCTGGATGTACCCCGGAGGAGAGCGCCACACTTCGAACAGATGGTCAGGCAGTCCGCCCTGGAGCTCCACCTGCAGCCTGAGGAGAGCTTCCTTCTTAAAGTAAAAGGAGCATGTGCTTTTCATGGCAGCTCTTGGGATTTGCAGTGAGAATTACTCTATTTAAGTGATCTTTAACCAAAACGTTAACTTACATATTCCACGGACCTTCATGCAATCTTAATATGTTCTTTAAAGCATTCTAACCCGACAGGCTTTACACAGTAAACAGAAATAATTATTTTGTAGTTCAATTCTGTGAGAAGGAACATACGAATAAGTCATGGTTTTAAGTGTAAGCATACTTTTGTTCAGTTGGTAAAATTTCTTCGTTGTTCTTGGTGACATGCATCAGAAATTAATTTTGCTCTCTTCTCTCCATCTTAGAGAAACTTGGAAGTAAATCCTTAGTACGTGCTTTTAGTGGGGAAAGAAATGTCAACATGTGTGACATCTGACTTCTCAAGGGCTTGTCCATATGCATGCTCAATTTGGGTGTAGTGAATACACAGACGTTAAAATACACTTAGAGAGTATCTCTTTTAGATATTGTCAAGGATGTAAGTCATTACTCAGGTGTGGGTAATAAGTCTTGTACTGTTTTTGTTCAGCACTTCGTGAAGTCATTGGTTTTGTAAGTAATTCCTGCCACGTACCAAGTACTAATGTACCCCACTCTGCCTGTGGCCAGGACTCACTGAGTAATGGTTTGTCTTCATTCTTACTCCCATGTTGTACTTGGGGAGATTGAGGAGAAACTGTAGTTTGCACTTGTCATCTATTTTAACTTTCCTGGAACATAATTTTGTCAGTGGGAGCTGGCTTGAGTTGTCAGCCAAGAATTAAGCAAAAAATGGGTAGGGATTTTTTTCAGCAGGTGGGGGCAGCCAGGTTCCTGTTTTTGTGTTTTTTTGCTTTGTTTTTAAATGACCAACTCATTAAAGGAACCAGTGACTGACTGTTTGGTCGGCAGGTTGTCCAGCTTGAGGAGCTGTTGGCCGTGCGGCACTCTGTCTTTGTGGTTGGAAATGCAGGCACGGGAAAGAGTAAGGTATGGTAAATTGCCTGTTCGTTTTCAGCCACGGAAGGAACACATTTTGGTCGGGCATATTTTCATTTCTCCTGAGGAGTTCCCTTATCAAAGTCCCCCATAATTTTGAGTTGGAATCCAAGTCTCTGATACTCCTTTTTGATCCATGGACACTGTTTTTTTTTTTTTTTTCATATTAGCGGCGGGGAGAATGTAACACATAGAACCTTGTGTTCAAATAGGAAAAGCAAGCTAAGAGAAGATTGGGCTTTCCATATTTATCAAAACTACTTTATCTCTCCCAAGTTATTTTAGATTCTCCTTCCCATATCACTAAGAAAAACCCAAATATTTTCCTTCAGTACTTTTTCAGAAACAGAGCCCTCTGTAGGGGCAAAAGAAAACTTGAAAAGGGAGACAGCAAAACCCATATTTTGGGGGTACCTGTTATGTGCTGTTGGGTGCATTATGTGTAATTTATTGTGCACGGCAATGATATGCTCTGGGTATTATTATCCCCATTTTTTACCTCCCTGCTTGATTTTGTTTGATCTTACTGACAATCCTGGCAACATACTTATTTTCTTGGTTGGCAGACGGTATATGCAGAACTGCATGCATTTTAATTCAGGGTGCTTGGGTATAAACATATTGAGTAGCCAAAGACTAAAAATAATCAGACTGGGCATATAAGACTTTAGAGCATGAGTGTATAGAACTTGCCAGTATTAGATCCGAACCCAAAGTGGGACAATTGCAAAGGGAGGCCTAGTATCAGAATTTTCTAGTGAAAAATGTAAGAATTGAAATATTGAAGTAGATAACTGATAGACCTGTAATTATTTTGTTAGAGTAAGTTTCAGATGTGGGCCATGGTTCAGGGAAGGATAAAATTAAATTCTATTATTTCCAGTAGATTAATGGTTTCTAAAAATACAAGCTTAATATTCCTAAAGCATTCAATTTCTTTCATCTAGTCTTCACTGATTCTGTTCTATCCAACCTTTACTTAAGCTGATAGAACTAGAACACTGGAGCTCAGGGCCATGTTACTTAGCAACTTACTGTTCCAAAGTATTTGGCAATTGTTTATCAGTCCTTTGAATGCCTGTGAGTCGATTAGGAAATGATAAATACCTAAAATAAAAGTCATGGCTTTTCAGAGAAAGCAAAAAGGATAGTTGGGACAGATATTTGGCATAAGGTGTCAATTAATTAAACAGACATAGATAAAGCATCTATCTGGTAAATTCTTAATCCTCAAGGCTTCTTTTGCTCAGTTATCCAGATGAGAGTTTCTCAGCTGCGTTCACGGTTGCCATGCTGGGTCTGATTACTCTTTGTCATGGAGGCTGTCCCGTGTGTTCATTGTAGGCTATTGAGCAGCATCCGTGGCCTCTGGTCAGTAGCGTGCCCTCTTTCTCAAGTGCAGAGCATCTCCTGCTAAGAACTATTGCTTTAGGTCCCTGGGTGTTAGAACATGTCCAAACTAGCATCACAGGCGTCACCTGGGACGTTATTAGCAATGCCGATCCTTAGGCCCTGCCATCTGTGTCTTAACACCCTCTGAGCGGTTCTGATGCGCCTACCTATGGGCAGAGTGGATTTTCATAACATGAACAGGAACACTTGTTGACTTATTTGCACACAGGGTTAAAAATTTTAAGTGATAGAGTGAGTTCCTCTAGTCTACATGGTTCAAAGAATCCGGTAAAAAGATCCTAAGAGATGGTAGGAGTACATTTTTCAAGACGGTAATGAAAATGTGCACATGTCAGTTTTTCCCCATACTTAATACACAGAATATCTAGGGAAGGAAAATCCTTTAGAAATCATTTGCTTTCCATCTGCTTTACAGGAGTATTAATTTTCTTAGCTTTTTCCTTCTTCCCTTCAGATTTTGAGAACACTGAACCGAACATATGTTAACATGAAACAAAAACCTACTTGGAATGACTTAAACCCCAAAGCTGTGACAACAGATGAACTCTTTGGTTTCATACATCACGCTACTCGAGAATGGAAAGATGGCAAGTAGTATTTCCCCGTTACGAGTGCAAAAATTTTTTTATCCAGAAAACCATTTCTCAGTTCAGGCCAATTTCAGTCATAGTGGTAGATTTATTGTTTACGTGTTGGCATTATTGGAAATGGAGTAGCTCACAACAGCATTTATAACCAGTAAATTAAAACCAGATTTGAATAAGTGGTCAATTTGCATTCAGCAAGTTTATGCTCAGAGCTGTGTATTTTATCCCACGTTAATTATATCAGGGCTCCCTGTAAACCAGGCAAGAAGTGAACTTGAATGCCTCAGGAGAATTTGTAAAGTATCTGATGCAAGACACGGACTGAGTTTCAGGCAGACATTATTCTAGGCACCAGGGACGAAAGTTAAGGGGACATGTTTCTTGTCCTGAAAGTATTTGTAGACGAGCAGATCCTTTTGTTCAAATCTGTTACTTCCCATTTCAGTAAATGCACTAACGTTGGCATCATCTTTGAGTCCTTTCTCCCTTTCACACCTTACATCCAACCTCACAGCAAATCCTTTAGGCTTTACCTTTAAATAATCTATTGTCTTCCAGTACCCTTTGCCTTCTCTGTCTGGTCTCCCTGCAGTTCATTTTCCACATAACAGACAGAGGGCGCTCTTCAAAATACGAGTTCCCTGCTTGCAGTTTCCTGTGGGTTCCATCTCCCTTAGAATCCAACCTTTATCCCAGGTTTACAAGGTTCTATGAGAAGAGAGCCCTCATCCCCCAGCTCCGATCTAATTTCCTGTGCTCTCCTCCTCACTTACCATAATCCATACACTCTGGCCTCCTTGCTCTTCCTTGAACATGCCAAGCATCTTCCCATCGAGGGCCCCCTGCACTTGATGTTCCCACCGTTTGCAGCCTTAAGTTATGGAAGCGTCTGGTCAAATGCCACATCAGAGAAGGCTTCGCTGAGGATCCTGTCTATGGGAGCATGCCTCCCCATTCTCTGTTTGCTTACCCTGTGTATCCATTCTTTCCTTAATTTGGGGACAATCAAACTTTACTCTTGGCCTTTCCATCATCTTTTTTTAAAGGACTGTGGCAGGAAAGGACTAATACCAGTTTATGCTGAAAACCTGTGGAAGCCATTCAGCTCAGTGATCATTAGAAAACGTTGCTGGCTTTTTTTTTTTTTTAATTTAATGAGTCATGGTAGTAGGTTTTGCATACTGTTGTTGATTTTTGCACAAAATATTTCACAGGAAACAAAACCTTCCACATACGTGCATCAGAACAGTTTTTCTCATAATATTATATACTTGAGTTTTGAAAAAGCAATGATTATTAAATACATCATGTAATACAATGTCTGGAAAAGTAGTGACAGCAAAAAGGACTGTGGGTTTAAAATATTTTTATCGGGGTGCCTGGGTGGCTCAGTTGGTTGACCGTCCAACTCTTGGTTTCAGCTCAGGATGTGATCTCAGGGTCCTGGGATCGAGCCCCACGTCCAGCTCCGTGGTCAGTGGGGAGTCTGCTTAAGGATTCTCTCTCCCTCTCTTTTTGCCCCTCCCCCCCAAGATAAATAAATCTTTAAAAAATAAATAAAATGTTTTTATCTTCTCATCTTGTAAGGTACTAAGCCAATGACCAAATTTCTCAAAGAAATGTAAAACACCTCTGAATTAGCTTCAGAATTCTATCCCATGAATATTGGTTATAGAAAAACGGAGAAAGGTTAAATAAACTAGTATTTGGCCTAAAATAGATACTGAATATATGTACATGGAAAAGGATAATGTCTTCATTTGGTGTAAGTTTTGAGCTGCATGTATGTTACCCTCTATAAATCCCCACACATGTTCTTCAAGAAAGCTACTGTCATCTTCACGGAGCTGTGGGAAAGCCTCCGAGAAGGTAAGGCGCATCCTCATGGAAGTGAAACCTGCCCATTGGTCTGCAGTCCAGGTGTAGCTCAAAAGGTATCCCACACTGCCCAGCAGAAAGAGGCAGCAAATGTACAGCAAATTTATTTACTTAATAAAAGAGCTGCCTATAGAAATAATAGCAGTTTATTTTAGAAATAAACAGCACACAACTCTATTAGGATCATTTACTCTTTTTTTTTAAATTCAGTTAGCCAACATAGAGTACATTATTAGTTTTTGATATAGTGTTTAGTGATTCATTAGTTGCCTATAACACCCAGTGCTCATCACATCCCGTGCCCTCCTTAATGCCCATCACCCAGTTACCCCATTCCCCCATGCACCTCCCTTCTGAAACCCTGAGTTTGTTTCCCAGAGTCAAGAGTCTCATGGTTTGTCTCCCTCTCTGATTTCCTCCCATTTAGTTTTCCCTCCCTTCCTCTATGGTCCTCTCTGCTATTCCTTATATTCCACATATGAGTAAAACCATATGATAATTGTCTTTCTCTGATTGACTTATTTCACTTAGCATAATCCCCTCCAGTTCCATCCATGTCAGTGTAAATGATAGGTATTCATCCTTTCTGATGGCTGAGTAATATTATCTTGTATATATGAACCACATCTTTATCCATTCATCTGTTGAGGGGTATCTCAGCTCCTTCCACAGTTTGGCTCTCATGGACATTGCTGCTATGAACATTGGGGTGCATATGGCCCTTCTTTTCACTACATCTGTATCTTTGGGGTAAATACCTGTAGTGCAATTGCTGGGTCATAGGGTAGCTCTATTTTTAATGTTTTGAGGAACCTCCATACTGTTTTCCAGAGTGGCTGCACCAGCTTGCATTCCCACCAACAGTGTAAGAGGGTGCTCCTTTCTCCACATCCTCGCCAACATTTGTTGTTTCCTGTCCTGTTAATTTTAGCCATTTTAACTGGTGTAAGGTGGTATCTCACTGTGGTTTTGATTTGTATTTCCCTGATGGCAAGTGTTGGAGCATTTTTTCTTGTGGATCATTTACTCTTAATGTATAGGTCTCTTCTCATCCATTCTGCGAGAACAAGCAAATCTTAAGCATGATGGACCAAAATGGATCATCCTGGATGGAGATATTGATCCCATGTGGATTGAGTCACTAAATACTGTCATGGATGACAACAAGGTGAATAATACCTTTTAGCTAAACAAATATCACACTGGGAGTGTAGGAAGATCTTTTCACTTGTTGATTTGAATGCTAGTTTTTAATCATTAACCTAATGTTCTTTATGTAATTGCTATTTTGGTAAGTGGCACTATCCTGATAGTTCTCTTAATTTCGCTGGTAAAGAATTGAAGGGAAAGACATTTTTCTTGTCTGCATAAATTTAACCACCTTTAAAGAGAGATATACATCTGAGAATTTAGTTCATACACGCCTCACCATTTTCTAAGAGCCAGGCATAAATTACTATGTCTTTGGTTAAGTATGCAATACTTGGATAGTAAAAGGACGAGTTTGTGCCCTATGTAAATTGATGAAATATAGCTATTAAAATTAAGTAATTCCTATGGCTACAGAATGAGTGTAAATGCATTTCTAAGCATTTTGCTGTGGCTGATCCAGCATTCCCAACAAAGACAAAAAGTGATAGTCCAGGTCCGGGAGACAGCACTTAAAGCAACACAAGGTCTGTGGTTAGGGTCAGGAGAAAGAAATAGGCAATCATCCTTGCTACAGAACAGAATTACTAACCCCCTTAAATGAGCGGTAATTACCGCTTTCTGCATTAAGACATTGTTCATCATAAAATGTAGGTCTGAGATCTTTATACTTGCATGAGTTTCTATAGCACAATTGGTAATTGTGGTATTTCAGATTCTAAAGAAAGTTTATTTTTTTGTGTGGTATTCAGGCCTTTTCATGTAATCAACTCTTAGAACAAATGTCTCCTATTTAGTAGTAATTACCGCAGACGTTTAAAGGTTGGCATGAATGAGTCCGTATTGGGGAGTTTGTTCCTCAAGGGTCAGTGAGCTCCCCTCTGGGATCAACCGAGATCTTTATGCAGACCGCTCTTCAGACTCGGGAGAGTGAGCTCATTGCTTTTGGCACTTGTACTGGGGGCTCGGGAGAGGGAGTACTTGGTGGTGTTCTGGGGAGTTAGCCGCATAGCCTTTGCCCCCCAACGACAGTGCCTCTTTTCTGCTGTGCTGGTCTGTCCAGGTGCTGACCTTAGCCAGCAATGAGCGCATAGCACTTACCCCCTCCATGAGGCTGCTCTTTGAGATTCATCACTTGCGGACCGCAACCCCGGCTACTGTTTCCAGAGCTGGTATTCTGTATGTGAACCCACAAGATCTGGGCTGGAATCCGTGAGTACTGCTTTTTTTTTTTTTTTAATTGTGGTAAAATATTCATAACCCAAACCACTTTCACCATATTTAAGTGTACAGTTCAGGGGCATTAAGTACATTCACACTGTGAAACAACCATCAGCCCCATCCATCTTCGTAGCTTTCTTCATCCTCCTCAACGGAAGCCCCGTCCCCATTAAACAGTAACCACCCAGTATGCCCTGCCCTCAGTCCCTTTCTCCTTTCTGCCTCTCTGAATCTGATTCTGCTAAGTACCTCTTATAACTGGAATCATACGGTGATTGTCTTTTTGTGGCGGGCTTATTTAGCTTAGCATAATGCCTTTAGAGTTCATCCGTGTTATAGCATGTTCCAGAATTTCCTTCCTTTTTAAGGCTGAATGATGTTCCATTGTATGTATACAACACCTTTTGCTTATCCATTCATCTGTTGATAGGCACTTGGGCTGCTTCTGCCTTTTGATGGTTGCAAATACTTTTGTGAACATAGGCATACAGGTATATTCTTGAGTGCTTCCAATTATTTTGGATACATACCCACAAGGGGACTTTCTAGATGATGTGGTAATTCTATTTTTAATTTTCACTGGAGCCACCATCCTGTTTTCCATAGTGGCTGCGCTATTTTGTGTTCCCTCCAACAGTGTACAAGGTTCCAGTTTCTGCACATTCTTGCCAACACTCGTAATTTTCTTTATTTTTTATGACAGCCATCCTAATGGGTGTGAAATGGTATGTCACACTGGTTTTGATTTATTTATTTCCCTAATGATTAGTCATATCGAGCATCTTTTCATGTGCTCCTTGGCCATTTGCGTATTTTCCCTGGAGAAATGCTTATTTCAGTCTTTTGCCTAGGTTTTAAATCTAGTTTGGTTTTGTTTTTATTGTTGTGAATATTTCTTTTTCCAGTCTTGGTTTTAAAACTAAAATTTTATGTGATCGTTTGAAGAAAGTATTAGCAAATAAATTGAAAGCTAATTGAATAGGCTAATTTAAAGAGAATGAAATTAGCACCTGTATGATTTGTCAATTTTAGTTGGACATTACCCTGTTCACACCTTGTACAAGTTAAGAACTCAGTATTTGTCAAATAAGTGAATAAGTAATAACAATAATTCATATGGAGGGCGCCTGGGTGGCTCAGTTGGTTAAGCGACTGCCTTCGGCTCAGGTCATGATCCTGCAGTCCCAGGATCGAGTCCCGCGTCGGGCTCCCTGCTCAGCAGGGAGTCTGCTTCTCCCTCTGACCCTTCCCCCTCTCATGCTCTCTCTATCTCATTCTCTCTCTCAAATAAATAAATAAAATCTTAAAAAAAAAATTCATATGGAGCACTGAGACATAAATAAATCATTTATATAAATATATTAATATGTCCTATAAACACATGCATATTCGTATGTATGTGTATAATAGCCACACACGAATAGCGGTAATGCTTTGATTCAGAACAGGTTGACTGTGCCCCCCTGCTTGCTCTTCAGATGCTTACGCTTCCCAGAATTCATCCTGGAGGTCACGTGTTGCCGCCCCTAGCATTTCCACTAGGAGCTGCGGAAATAATGCTTGACCTCCGCGAGTGACACGTGCTTGTGCCCGGTGTGCAGCTGGTGCCAGAATCTTCTGTTGACCCCAGACGCTGTCCGGGCTGTGCAGGCTGACCCCAGAGCCACTTCAGTGGGCTCCTTGCCATCCGGCTTCCGGTTGGCTTGGCCCATGAGGAGCCCTGGCAGGAAATGAGAGGGAGAGAGAGGAAAGTGAGGTCAGGCTATTTATTTCCCTGGCTCCCTCCCTGCAGCGTCGCATCAGGATGACTGTGTCCCTCGACGGCAGGTCACTGTCCTCTAAAATGTCTCTGTACAATCCGTCCCTTGCACACTGGTAGTCCTTCGTTCCCTTGTCCTTGCATGCACACGTACGCTAACCGTTCCTCAGTTGATACCTGTGGCACAGCTCTCTCCCTTCGTTTCCCTGCTCCATGCCCACCTTTGCCTTCTAGATCCTTCTAGATCCTTCCCTGTTACCCTGATTGAGGATGACCTCTGTTCCCTGCCAGATGCTTGGCTGATGGCACTTCTCCAGGCTGCTTTCTCTGGACACTGATTTGTTCACTCGAGGTCTCACCACAGCAAAGTAGAGTCATGCCCACGCTTCTGTTTTAACAGGTTTTATTGGATCTGTCTGGGGAAGGGGTCATTTTCAAAAGCCTGAAATGGAGAGTTCTTCTTGAGCTAATAGGTCCTTTCCCCAGCTAGGATTCAGACTGTCTTCTAGGATGCTCCTATGGGTTTGGGGCTGGCTAACAGAGAATCTCCAATATCCCTTGATCCCCCCCCAGACAGAGAGCAGAGGCATTCCCCACACCCTGTTTCCTTCAGGGGACCCCTCACCCCTCTGGGTTTGGTCTGGCTTCAGTCATGAACCTCACAATTCCCAGGGTCTCAGTAGCATCACATGGAGATTCGTGCTAATAAAAGCTGTCTAAATCCTTATTTCAAGAAGAACTTTTATCTAGTAAGTCAAAGAGTCTTACTCAATTAGAAAAAACACCCAATTTGCATTCCTATGAAAGTTAAACAACTCTGTCTTCACCATTACACTTTATTTTTATGGAGGTTTTTCTTTGATCCAGAATCAGTGGGTAAGTTTTAATTTTCATGTGTGTGACCACAGACTCATTATCCAAAACAATGGGAATCTTCCCTAAAGGATACTTTTATATTTTTACTTCCTACCACCGGAATCTTTAAATGTACTACAGAAAAGCGGCTTTTTCAGATTGGGGGACATGTTTTCACTCCATATTTATTGGGTACATTGCTACCTTTAATGTCATAATATTAATTACAGGGTAGCTTTGCATGTATTGACTCATTCAATCCTTAATTACGTTCTGAGATAAAATTATCAACCTAGTTTTCCAAACCAGTATCTGAGGTCTCAATTTCCCCCAACTTTTTAATTTGAAAGTGTTGAAAATTACAGTAACTCTGAAATGGTAGTAGTACACTCTACACTTTTTTTCTACGGTACCAATTGTTAGCATCGTCCTACATTTACTTTCTCTCTGAATGTACACACACACTCTCACACAGGCATAGAGGCATATTTTCTCCTTTTACTTATTTTTGCAAAAGTATCTGCAGACATTAAGCCCCTTCACCACTGTGAACTTGAGCATCTCTTCCCTAAGAACTCTAGGATATTGTCCTACATGAACACAGTACAGTTAACATACTAAAATATTTGTTCTGGATACAGTATTATGTGTTAAACAGTAATTTTTCAAATTTTTTCAGTTAACTGAGAAATTTCCTTGGTAGGTTTTGTCTTTGGTTTTGTTTTTTTTAAATCCAGTGTCAAAACAAGGATCATGCATTGCATCTACCTGTCTGTGTTTTCTCCTTTAATGTAGAATATCCTCCCACCTTTTTCTTTCATGACATTGACAGTTTTGAGGGTAACCTGCCAGATGCCTAGAAGAGTGACCCATTGGTGGTTGCAAGGTGGTGACTTTCTAATTCATTCCTTCTATTTACATAGATGAGGTGACATTTTCCTAAAAGAATTCCTCCTCCTCTTTCCTCCTAATCCCCTCCTTCCCTCACCTGTCTTTCTCCCTTCCGTTTTCTCTTTCACTTTCTCTCTCTCTCTCTCTCTCTCTCTCTCCCCCCCCTCACTCTCTCTCTCTCCCTCTCCCTTTCCCTCTCCCCCTTTCCTTCTTCATGGGCATCATTTTCTATTCATGGTTTCTTTTCTTTCAGTTCAGTGGGTTAGAATTCATTACCAACATGATCCTATTGAACGCTCGCTTTGTCCCAAATTTGCCAACAAGAGCCCCTTCCAACCAGCCCCTTACATGTTCTTTTTCACTTTTTCCTCCTCAGTCTTGGAGCGCTTGGCTTTCTGGCTAGCCAACATGATTCTGGCTCCTTTCATTCTTCCTTCCCCTCGCCTGATTCCGTCATTTCTCCAAGGAGCCAGAAGAAACGACTTTTTGTATAAGGAATGGTATTTAGAATCCCAGATAACGATGCTAAGTGTGCTCATTGCTACCAATAGGCCATTGCTTTTAGGCTCTTTCAGTGAATGGAATTAGGAAATACATTTTCTTAACTCATACTGTGGGAAACCCTAAGTTATCATGGATAGAAGAGATGATAAAATAGTTTGTTTATGGCATCTCCCTGTGATTCCATTTAAGGAATGAAAGTAGTATCATTATCATGTAAGCTTCTTCGACATTTTTTAAATTCACTGAGCTATTCTAAAAAATAATTTTATATCCACACTTAACAGACACAGAGCATATCATGTCAGACAACAAACATCCTTAAAATCACATGAGCACATGACTGGCTATTGAAATCAAATACTATTCTACTTCTCAGTCCTAAGTAAGTTTACTAGATGAATGCTGGATAGTTCATATATGTCTGTTGAGATCTTGAGAAATAGAGAAAGAATGGGCATTAGAAGAAAATTTCTAAAAAATTACCAGCAAGATTTTTTATTCCCATTAGAAAGGGATGAAATGCATAAAAAGGGATTAAATGAATAGAAAAGGAAAAGCAAACAGGTAATTATTTGAATTCATTCGGAATTAAATTATTTAATTCACTTAAAATTATTTAAGTCCTTTAACTTAAAATTACTTAAGTCCCTTATGTTAAAATTATTTAAAGCAAACACAATTGAAAATGAGATCTACCAAATGGTGTATTACTCAACTTCTAGATAATGATAGGAAAAGGTGGAATATCTCTGGAATTTAGTCTAATTCTAAGAGATTACTGGAAGATAAGTTTTGGGAGCCCCACCTTTAAATCATACTTACTCCTTTATTACTTCATAATATCCTTTTGATTTTGTCTCTCTCATCTTCTGATCTGCATTGGATGAGCTGGTTGTCTTTTTTTTTTTTTTTTAGATTTTATTTGAGATAGAGCAAGAGAGAGAGAGAGCATGAGCGGGGTGGAGGGGCAGAGGCAGAGGGAGAAGCAGGCTCTCCGCTGAGCAGGGAGCCCGATGTGGGGCTCGATCCCTGGACCCTGGGATCACAACCTGACCTGAAGGCAGGTGCTTAACTGACCTAGCCACCCAGCACCCCAAGCTTGTTGGCTTTTACCCCCGCAATCCCATCCTTCCATCTTGGCATCCTGTATATATTTGCAAAAATAGATTTAGAAATCATCGGCATAACGCTGCTGGTCAGCATGTCTAACTTCTGCCATTTTTCCGGGTCACCGTGAATGATGGAGAACCTGCAGCTTACTGTGGGGGGCACGTATATAACCAGAGTTCTCATGAGTTCCTGCTCTCCTCCAGGACACTATTCCAATCCCAGACTCGTGAGTAATACATTGAAAAGTTTTCAGGAGCCTGAAAACTTTGGCTACCTAGGTAGTTTCCAAACTCGAGGGTCTTAGAGTCATGTGATCATGTGAATAGCACTTCTAAAGAAGGGCAGGGCAACACAGCTGAATATATGGAACCACATTTGCAAACGCTGAAGAGGTGAAGATGCTCTGTTAGTGACCTGGATATTGGCATGAAGATGATGCATTAAGGCATCACTATGTGGCTACTTCCTGAGGCAGGGGCACCAACAATCTCTCACGTAGGTAAGAAATAAATATAACCTTTTAGCATGTCATCTTCCAGTGTATGTCATATAATAGCACTGTTTCATTTGATCATGTTCAAATGTATAGCATTTCTTGGAAACCATAAGGGACTTTTTCATGAAGTAAGGTGGAAAGAATTGCCAACAAAGATCTGTATCTTCGGTTTTTGCCATTGCTGAAGGTAATAGTGTCTTCTTCTGAATTCACGATGTTTTAATGTCTATTTTTATTCCAAACTATGAAAATTTATCTGTAATTTATATGTGAAATTTTAAATTGTTTATATTTGACAATACAGACTTTTTTACTCCCTAGGCCATATGGTGTGCTTGACCCCTAGCAGAGGTCATTTGGGGCCTTTTTAGGAGGGCTTGCAAGATCACCTTTTGCCATGTCTCCTGGTTTGGTTGAACTGAAGTCATGCAAAGCCCTTTTCCCCTTCTCTGGCTCTCTTGAGGCTTCAGCCCCTAGTCATCCCCACATAGGCTTTTGCTCCTACTGACACCAAAGACCAGGGGGTGGAGGTAGAATTTGTTGTAACCCAACAGAGCACTGGCCACCAACTCTTGGGCCCTGTAGGACTCTAGTGCCGTTAGGAGATGCTCAGATTGGCCGAGCCAGGGTCTGACCCCAGTTCTCGGACTTGAACCAACTCTGTGCTGGATGGCACTTACTGAGAACTTGTTGTATGTCAAATAGTAATCCAGGCACTTTCTACACAAGAAATTGTTTCATCCTCAACGATCCTAGGAAGTTTGTGAGAAACTTAAAGCACAGAGAGGTGAAGCAACTCAGCCTAGGTAACGGCTAAAAAATGGTGGAGCTGGGATACGGGTCCAGACAGTCTGACTTGAGAGCTCAGGAGAGCAGTCCCCTCACCACCCCCACTACCCCGGACACTAACATTCTGCTCCCAGCAGCTGCTGTGCGGTTAAACAAGTAGCTCAGAGGTAGGTGAGGCCTTCGTGTCTTCATTTCCAGTAACTCACACTTGGTTGCCATTGTTCCCTGGTGCCCACTGTCCCCACCGCCCAGAGACGCTCTCTCAAGTTACCGTCCTGCACCTGGACTTCACCTGAAAACCATTTCTCTTGGCCCTGAAGAGGTTTTGACCGTTGATATTGTATAAGTCTCACTATAGTGTAAATGTGATCGAATGGTTAATAGAGCCCTATTGTGGCACTTTGTAAAAATCAAAGGGAGCCTTTTATAGGATAATTATCTTGCCTTAATTTCTTCTGATAGTAGAAATGTGAAATCTGATTTGCTTATAGCAAGGTATAGTGGTAATTGTGTAGCTGCCCGGCTGGTGGCTAAATGTATTTGTTATCACCGCCTTCTCTTTGATGAGAACTTTTCGAGCCGTTATTTTTCATTTAACATCACACAGTTTCTCTGCAGAGACGACTGTGGGAGCTTCTAGGCTATGTTTCATTTTATTGATAAGTATGATTTTATTAATATGTTAAGAACATTAGTGTATCAGAATTGATAACCTTCTATAAGCTCCAGATTAATACACATGTACCCAAGCGTGAGATAACCATTTCAGAGCTACTTATCAGAAACACATTATCTGCTTATTGGTTTGGAGTTACCTCCAATCCAATGCAAAAGGAGGGACTCTGAAATAGCCCCTATGGAATTTTCACCTTTTTCTATGTAACTGATTTGTCATTACTAAACAATTGATGCCAAGATTAATCAAGAAAAATCCCAAGCTGTTTTCATAAATAAAGCCTGCCCTATGAAACCAGTTTCATTCCCTTAGGAAATGACATGCTGTACCTCCTTATAAATGCTCAGTAATGGCCTGCTTAGACTCTATTATGTTTGCCTTCTAAGTGCTATTAGGAGTTTCTGTTACATTTTTTTCATTAAAGTAAAAATGGCCATTAGAACAAGTTTTTAAGGGGTCATTTAAAAATATTTGCCGTTTGAGAAATAGAAGGAACTCACTAAACATGTCCCCGAAGGGTGGCACCACGCTGTGCTGAGTGGCGGGGGGAAGCTTTTGAGTTGGTGAAATTTGGCTTTTCAAGCCTCGTGTTCAATAAAAGCCTTTCTGTGGTCTTTTTCAGGTATGTGGCCAGTTGGATAGACAGAAGGCGGCATCAATCAGAAAAGGCCAATTTAACTATTCTTTTTGATAAATATGTTCCTGCATGCTTGGATAAGCTGAGAACCAGCTTTAAAACAATCACTTCAATTCTGGAGAACAGCCTGGTGCAGGTGCGGCTTTGGGCACACCATCCACGCTCTAGTCCTGATGTGGTAGTGTGTGACCTGACTGAGGCAGCAGGAGGTTTCGTTTGCTCGATGGAAACGCAGAGAGGAGCGCCTGCGTGACCCAGGCAGTCGGGCATCCGACTCTAGATCTCAGCTCGGGTCTGAATCTCAGGGTCGTGAGCTCTGGCCCCGTGTTGGGCTCCATGCTGGGTGTAGAGCCTACTTGAAAAAATGAAACCTAAAAAAAGAAGAGGCAAAGATCACTGGGGTCGTCAGGTTGCTCCATCTGTCTTTCCCTTTCCCCAGCTCCATGTCCCCCAGTGTTTTTACAAACCTACACACCTGTCACAGTCTGTTATCACTCTGGGTTGTAGTCTGTTGGTTTTTTGTTTTGTTTTTTTTTTCCCATGAGACTGTCATCTAGAGGGCAGAAGCTACCTTGTATTTATTTTGACATCCCCAGAAATTTACAGAGTTCCTCGCACATAGCGGGGGCCAAGTATGTGTTTACTTAATCACTGTGCTCCTCCAAGTATATTGGAATAGAATAAGAAGAACAAAGTAGTAACAACCATATTTATTTTTCTGTCTTCTAAGAAACTGGCCCAGAGAAAGGGGTTCAGTATGTTTTTTGACTACAGTAAATCCAGCAACTAAAGATGCAGGCTAGTAAAAGAAAGCTTCTGAGCTTGACCACCCGCGGCCCTCCCACACTCTTCTTCCTTTCTGTTCTCCCCCCTCCCCCCAAAAGTCAGGTCACTCCCAATGGAGAGTTCATAATACTCCAGTTACTAGTCTGTTCTGATTCTCCTTCTGAGACAGCTGGTAAGACTGAAGGGTATATGTGATAGGTTGTCATGGAAGCAAATGAAAATAATTCACAGCACACAGAAATGAAGGTTGTGATCTTAATCTCAGCATGAAGAAAAACAGTCCCCAGCCTTTACAAGCATAAAACTTCACAAAAGGTTTACAATTAGAAATCCTTTTTTTTTTCCTCTAGGAACAAAATTGGTTTCAGAGTACTATGTTACCAGATTTGTTTGAAGCTAAATTAGAAATAGTCACAAGCATAATAAGAAGAGAAAGTTTAGGTTTTTGGATAATTCACACACCAATTAAGTAAACGATAGTCTTCAACAGTAATTATCTAAGGTATAATTTATTTCTGAAAGCAGGTCTGAATTTATTCATAATGAATTAATTATGTGGTTACCCAAATTAGACTTCCTCTGGTGTAGTACTTGGAAAAGCATGATTGTGTTCTTTCTCAAGTTGACTTATGTATTTGTGTGATTCTCTGTAGTGTGAATTTTTTCATTCAAGAGTAGTGTGAAAATAGGTCAGTAGGAATTAATATGACTTTCCCTCTCACTTCCTCCTTTTGTAGTATTCAGAAATGGCATTTTATCCTCAGCTCCTTTTCAGCTGTTTTTTTTTTAGAGTAGTGTCTTTTCTGTGATTACGTGACAAAATTCGAGATGAATTTGAGTACAAAAGGGAATACCTTCAAATGACTACTTTAAGAAATTAATGTGCTCCATTTTCCAATAAATGACATGTATTTGCTTTAAGTTTGGTTAGGTATATTAACTCCTTCATAAGATACACCAGAGTCTGATGTTACCAGTTTCTGACATAGAGCTGCTCTAAGTGTTTTCCAAGTACTGTGTTTGGGAGAAAACAGAAAAGTGGTGAGTTAGTAGAGTCTCCAGGTGAGCGGATAACATCACATTGAAGTCTTCCAGTCCCTGTTTTGGTTTTGGTTTTGGTTTTAACAGTCCCTTAGAGCACCAGGGCTTTTCTTGATAACAAATGGGTGATTTTTATTTCTTTTGGAGGATTATTTTAAATTGGCAGATATGGAACTATATAACATAATAGAAATCAAGAGAGAAAATTGAAAAATATAACAGGCGGTCAACTTTTCAAATTGGAAACCTTTGTAAATTATTTCCAGGAGCTATTTTCCAGGTTACCATAGGTTTTCCCCTGCTTTCATGGCTGGGGAAGAAAGACCCACAGGCAATCCTGACCTGTTTTGTTACAGCTTGCTGTCTGTATGAAATCTCCGGCTGCCTTCAGAAACCAGGAGAAGGGTACCAGGAGTTCTGAGAGTCTGGGATAATGTTACTAAGTGACAACTGTTTCTGTGATTCAGAGAAGTAGCTGGAAAACATGTTCATGACTGGTTGTTGTTCCCTTTGGGAAAGGCCTTTGCAGGCAGCCATGTTCCCCTCATCACTGACCTGATTGTCCTGAACTCAGGCTCTGTTTCTGACCAACAGCACATTGCTGTCTCACATGGAGGGAGTGAAGGACAAGTTCCTGGAGAGCATTTCTTCCAAGGTTAAATTTAGTTTGGTGTTAAAAAAAAAAAAAGTCATAGGCGAAGGCTGCCGGTCCGACTTTCTAAGTTTATACAACAGGTGGGAAAAAACCACTGCCAAAGCACTAAGGGAAAATGGGTTATCTAAATGTCCAGCAAGAGGGAAATGAATAAATACCTCCCTGTCAAGTGGAATCTTACGCACTCATTCCCACCGATACCGTAGGGCAGCGCTCACTGGGAAGGCGAGGTATCTTTAGTTTGTTACTGAGTGAGAATGTGAGCTGTAGGCGACTCTGTACTGTGACTCCCTGTTAATAAAAAAAAGAGAGAGAGAGCTTAAATGTATTCCCCATTATCTTTTCTTTGTGCCTATATGTATTCGTGTTTATTATAGTGATCATGAACTGGATAAGATAGTCCTTTTTTAAAAAGACTTGATTACTTAGAAGATCGGTTTCATTAAAAGTGACAAAGGTTTTCCCGTATTGCCTTAGAAAACCAAGGCAGTAATTTTGGTCTGTCTCAATGTAGCAAGTCCCAGATTGGGGAAAATTCTATAATCTCATAAGGAGTAAGTGGATTTGTTAGTATGTCCTTTGACCTTACTCTGCTATTAAGGAGTTGCTGCCCTAAGTAAGTAGCTATTTATTTTTCTTTAGACTCTTTGTACCCTTCTAGAATGCTTGTTGACTCCTGACAACGTACCTTCGGACAGCCCAAAAGAGGTTTATGAAGTCTACTTTGTCTTTGCTTGTATCTGGGCATTCGGAGGCACTCTGCTGCAAGATCAGGTATGTTTTGAGATAGTTCACAGAAATAATTTATAGCACCAGTTTTACTTGGGAGGCAGGTTGTAATGTGATCCCTGTGTTTTGGGGTTTTTTTGGTTTTTTTTTTAATATCATCATAAATCTCTGCCATTTGCCCTGTTCTCTTGTAAGCCAATGTGTTTAGGCCAGCTCATCCAGGCTGGTAGCTCTAACTTTGGCGGATGCTGCCGAACCCATAGCCTTGCCCCGGTCTCTCTTCGGAGCCCAGGGGTCGGTGTTTCCGCCTGCCTCGGGAGCAGGGCCGCCAGTATGCTCTTCCAGATGCCGCTCGGCTCTCTGTGACGAAGACAGAGCTCTTCATCTGCCCCAGCCCCCCACTGGCTCCTCCTCTGCTCCCTTTCTTATCCTCGGGGATGCTCAAATTCCTCCCAGTTGCTCGAGCTAAAAACGCGGGAGACCCCATTCTTCTTTACTTCTGTATCCCGTGATTATCAGACCCTTTCAGTCACACAACAGCTGTCAGGTCAGTCCCCACCTCCCCGTCCCTACAGCCTCCATTCAGGAATGTATCATCTTTAGCTTGTCCTGGGCCGTCACAGCATCTTAGCTCAGGCTGCCGTAACAAAATACCGTACCTTGGATGGCGTAACTGTCAGAAATTTACTTTCGGTTCTCGAGGCTCAAGTCCAAGGTCAGGGTGCCAGCATGGTCTGGTTCTGGCTGGGACCCTCTTCCTGGCTTACAGACAGGTGCTTTTTTGCTGTGTCCTCATATGACCGAGAACAAAAAGCTTTCTGATGTCTTTTTTATAAAGGCACTAATCCCATAATGAATGCCCAACCCTCATGACGTCATCTAAACCGAGTTACCTCCCAAGGCCCCATCTCCAAATACCATCACAGTGGCGGTTAGAGCTTCAACATAGAGATGTGGGGTGAGAGGAGTGGACACATGCAGTATACAGCACGTAAGAACCTTGAAATCGGTTTCCCTGTCTCTGGTCTCTTACCTCCAATCAGTCTCTTACATGATTCCTGGGGTAATTATTTAGGAATCAGACTCAACTCAGGCCAGATCCTTTCCAAGGGTCTTGCCTTCAGCCTAACATGAGGCTACCATGCCTGCCCAGCATTGCTAGCATAGTTCATCCGTGGCTGATTTCTTTTGGGCAAACACTTGAGACGAGCCTGCTCGAGTGCATGCATACACATACACACACGTGTACACACGGCTTAGACTTACTCAGGTGCAAAGTGGGAGTGTTTCAACATTAGAGGATGGCACATCTCATCTCCACCATGCTCCTCTGCATGTAGATTTTGTCACGTAATGTTTCCAGTAATTGTTCAGTCTATCTTCATGGTGCTCATAAAGCTCAGAGGGGCAAAGGAGCTTGACCAAGGTTACACTGATAGGAAATGACAGTACCAGGATTCACACCCATGTACATCTCCAAAGGCGACCTGGGCCAGGGTACCTCAATGACTGATCCTACGGGTACCCCTGAATCTTTGCCTTAAAAATAGATGGCATGCATCTTCCAGACTTTGCCAGATATTTCCGGATGTAAACAGGGAATTTAAATTGGAAGATATCACAGCCAAGAGGGCCCCATATTTCCATTGGTTGACTTGTTGTAGATCCTCAGATACATGGTTACTAAAACCTGTTGCCGGTTCTGCTTCTTGTCACTAGGTTACCATAAACCGTGTCTATAAATAGGTGTGGAATTCACTTGGCCTGCTAGATCTGATTTTGATCCTTCTCAGAAGCCACATTTCCTTCTGTAGTATCCAGGGGCTTTCTAAAGAAAAGCAGCCCATTTTCTTTAGTGAAAGTCAAGAGTTGGTGTTGGGTGACTTCATGTGGTTTTTCTCAGGCACAATTTACAACATGCGTGGACTTCTTCATGGAGGCCACGGGCAGAATCTCCCCTCTCCCCAGCTTCCCCCTCCCCCATGTTTTTTTATGTCCTCCTGGGGTTCTCCACAAGGTTTTTTCCTTCGCTAGGATGTAAACCAGGTAAAATTGTGTGAGTAGGATGTGGACAGCAGAGATCCCTCTATTCCTGACCACTTCCCTCCCAACTGATTGCCTTTTCATCTTTCCAGTTTTCAAACATGGCGGCCTTCCCAGCAGTCCGTCAAGCCGGGCACTGGGCCACCACAGTGGTCACCTCACTCCTCCAGACCTCGCTCCCTAAATAAGCCTCATCTTCTTCATCCTCCTCCTCATCCCCATCACCTTCACATCTTCAAAAGGGCTCTAACTACGAAACATTCAAAACAGAAACTATATAGTTGGAAACATGAATGAAAAAGACAGAAGAAGATGGGGCGCCTGGGTGGCTCAGTCGTTAAGCGTCTGCCTTCAGCTCAGGTCATGATCCCAGGGTCCTGGGATCGAGCCCCGCATCAGGCTCCCTGCTCAGCGGGAAGCCTGCTTCTCCCTCTCCCACTCCCCCTGCTTGTGTTCTCTCTCTCGTTGTCTCTCTGTCAAATAAATAAATAAAATCTTTAAAAAAACAAACAAAAAAAAAGACGGAAGAAATGCTCTTAAGATAGCCATTTATTAGTTGAACAAATCTGAGCGCCTGCCAGATGTCCAAGAAGGTACTTAGGCCTCTTAGTTGGCTATTTTACTGAATCTTCAAAAAAATAAAACCTCTATGTATAGGTACAACTACCTTCCTCCCCTTTTAACAAAAAAAGGAGCCGAAACTTAGATAGCCTGCTTGAGGATGCCCAGGTAATGTCGGAGCCACGTTCCGACTGCAGCACGCTGACTCGGGTCCGGTGTTCCGAAGCCAGGCCATTGCAGGCAGCTTCCAAAATAGGTCTTGGATCAACTCTCCCTGAGCTCCCATAAACCGCTATTAGTACTTCTCCCTTGGCTTCTAAGGTAACAGCCTCACTGGTCTGCTTCTGTACCTCCCCCATAATCCATTATCCTCTCAGCAGCCAGAGCAATTTTTTTAAATGTAAATTGAATTATATGATACACTTGAGAGTTTAAAACACTTTAATGGATTCCGTTTGCCTTTCGGATAAAGTGAAAAATGTAATACTATTTACACGGCCCCTGGATCTGGTCCTGCCAGTCTTTCCCTGCTTCTTCTGCCTACCCCTACCTCTCTCCCCACCTCCCACCCCCTTCCACCAGCTGCAGTGCCCATTTCTGGAATATAAGGTCTGTCATACCACAGGATCTTGGCCCGTGATGACCTCTTCCTGCTTCTTGGAGCTGTCTTCTCCCTAATCTGTGCCGGTTCTCAAAGATGGCTCACCTGGACATCCAATTAAAATAGATTCACCCCCGGGCGCACTTAACGACTGTTAAGTGTCTGCCTTTGGCTCAGGTCAAGATCCCAGGGTCCTGGGATCGAGTCCCACATCGGGCTCCCTGCTCAGCAGGAAGCCTGCTTCTCCCTCTCCCTCTCCCACTCCCCCTGCTTGTGTTCCTGCTCTCGCTATCTCTCTCTCTGTCAAATAAATAAAATCTTTAAAAAAATAAAATAGATTCATCCCTTGTTGACGAGAAGGCGGAGAAAGGGTTTAACAGACTGAACCACCCAGGCGCCCCCACAGAGACTCTTAAAGAGAGAGAACACATTGAGGGTTGATGGAGGGAGGTGGGTGGGGGATGGGCTAGAAGGGTGATGGGTATTTGGGAGGGCATTTGTTCTGATGAGCGCTGGGTGTCATATGTAAGTGATGAATCACTGAATTCTACTGAAACCAGTATTGCCCTGTAGGTTAATGAACTAGAATTGAAATAAAAATAGATTCACCCGTTACTCTCACTTAGAGCAAACTCTACTTTCACAGCACCTATTTATTTCTGCATTTATCGGCTTAGCCTCTGCTTCCCCTGTGCTTCCTCGTGTCTCTGCTTCTATCTCCCCATAAATTCTGTGACGGCAGACATTCTGTTGGCTTTCTTCCGCAGTCTAGAACAAATGTGTTGTAGTTGAGTGAACTAATGAGTCAAAGATGTGTTACTAAAATGATCTTGCTGATGTAGTGGTTAGCAAATTTTGATGTGAAGTCGAAGTCCTCTGTATTCTGCCTACAGAGAATGGTGCCAAGTGTTTTACCTTCAGAACTGATTTGATTTAAGACCAACTTTCATAGGGTGATAAAATACCCATGGCACCAACTGGAAAATAACTCACACGAGCCTCACTGACACATGAGTGGTGGTGCATAGGAGTGTGAGCTCAGCCTATTTGGAGGATGGGGACAAGCTCTGCCTGCTAAGACTCCACACCCTTCTCTGCCCTCGACACACACACCTCTTCTCCAACCATCCTGTCTCTGCTCATGGGTGTGATCACCCCAGCACTAGAAGTGGGCCATAGTCCAAGGACATAGGATACCAAAGAAAAAGCAGTTTGAAGAATGTCACTGGAGAGGGATGCCTGGGTGGCTCAGTGGGTCAAGCGTCTGCCTTTGGCTCAGGTCATGATCCCAGAGTCCTGGGATCGAGTTCCGCATCGGGCTCCCTGCTCAGGGGGAGGCCTGCTTCTCCCTCTCTCACTCCCCCTGTTTGTGTTCTCTCGCTCTGTCATATAAATAAATAAATCTTTAAAAAAAAAAAAAAAGAATGTCACTGGAGAAAAATAGGAGTTAAGGTCTTAGGAAGTAGGAGACTGCTGAATGCCATGGCCACTCAAACACACTGTTCTTAGAGTTCACCGGAGCTCACTGTGGTAGATGATCCTGCGGATACAGAAGTCACTATGCCAGCCTGTGCTGTGGCTGGAGGGAGTTAGTGGGCCGGGTCGTCCAGTGGATGTTGGAGACAGTAGGCCAGGTCTTCGTATAGATACAGAAGGGTTTGATAAGCTGCCATTTCCCCTTCTTTGTTTTCCAAACCCTAATCTAGTAGCAAAGGGCTTGTACCTACCATCGTATAAAAAGGAGCACCTTCTAGCGAGGAGAGCCTGTTCCCTGCCACTGTCATTCCTCTCTGTAGGGCGCAGTTTCTCTCTCGAGAGTTTTCAACTGCACCCCTTACTTGTGCCCTGCTAGAAAACCAAGAACATGCCTTTCCTCGTCCCTCATGGTGGGGGTTCCCAGATTTCGAATTTCAAAGATAAATGGTTTGATTAATGACTTGAAGGAATGAAATAGGGTTACCAAATGTTTACTTTTCTAAATGAGGACATTTATGAACAAGGACCATAATGAATACCATAATTTTATAAAAGGAAAGCTGTTTCAACACCAAAAGGTCCAAGAAGCCTATAAGCTCAAGTAGAGGGCAGTATTGAAATCAAATAATGTTACCAGCTTTTAAAAAAGTATTCCTGTGTTCTTACCTTTTTTATTTTATCACGAATTGATGTGAATATTGGTAGAAATCAACACCAGTGTTTGAGAACCACTGTCTCGCTGAACCTAGCATAGTAATTTGCATGGAGCTCACTGTTAAATTGAATAACCCAGGGGTAATCTAAGGTTCACCTAACCTTACTTTGCTTTTTAAGTTAATAATTACTCCAGAAAATTTGTACCTGATGGATATATGGCAATTATAGCTTTCTGCCTCTCTGATATTATCACTCATTTTAAGTTCCTTCTAGTTATTTATTTTTCTTGGGTCAGTTTCTCAATCCCATTTGTAATTATAACTCTTTACATGGCAAATACTGTGTTGAACAGGATTTGGAGAGGCTTTGTATGTGTTCAAAATTACCTCTAGGTCTGCAATAAGGATTTCTCTGGTTCTCCTTAGCTTTCTGGCTCTCAAGCTGAATTCAGTCGGTGGTGGCATAAAGAGATGAAAGCAGTAAAGTTTCCATCCCAGGGGACAATCTTCGATTATTATCTGGACCACAAAACTAAGAAATTCTTGCCTTGGGCTGATAAAGTCCCCAAATTTACTATGGATCCAGAGGTACCTCTGCAGGTAGGTGGATGGAACGTAGTAACTTTCAAACCACACTGTGCTGCTTTGAGCCTTTTTGTTTCACGTTTGAGCCGTCCTTCTTTTCCTGCCTGATGGAAAAATTTTTGTTGATATGGTCAAGCATATATAGCATATTGCCTGGGAGAGAAGAATCTTAGTTATAAGAACAACTAGTGAGATGGCTCTTAAGTTTATGCAAACTTTTTTATTAAAAAATTTCAGCTTAAGTCTAGAGTAACTGCTTTCTTAAGATCTCAGACATTTTGTGAGTTTTATTAAAAATCAAAGACATATTTCTGTTAGTTCTAGTGATTCTCATATCTGACCATATTGTGAATTTATTAGACAGCACTTTTCACTAGAACGTCTTTCCTTTAGCCCCCTAAGCCATAAAATGGATGTGTTCAAGCTCCTCAACTCAGAGGTTTCCAATTCTCATGGCCGCTGAGAAATCAAAATGAATCTTTTTTGTTTTTTAATTATTTCTCTTCATAGATTGTTGTTTTACATTTCTCTGATGTTGACTTATTCTTCAGTCGTCGTCTTCTTCTGCCCCAATCTCTCTTCCTTTTCATTAGACTTCTTAAAATCTCGACATTCTGATTCACTTGGGAGCTTAGTGCTTCCAATGGCGCTGACTAGAGAGTATAGGGGGTTTCCATGGTATTAACTAGGCAGCTGGTGTGAAATAAGAGAAAACCCAGTGTATTCGCTTCCTGGAGCTGCTGGAGCAAAGCGCCACAAGGTAGGTGGCTTAAACAACAGACATTTCTTGTCTCGTGGTTCTGGAGGCTAGACGTTGAAAGACCAAGCGTCAGCAGGAATGGTTCCTTCTGAGGCTGTCAGGGAGAGTCCGTTCCAGGCCTCCGTCTGGAGTTCACTGGCGATCTCAAGGTGCCTTGGCTCATGGCAGCATAGCTCCAATCCTCACGTGGCATTTTCCCCGTGTGTGTGTCTCTGTGTGCAAATTCCCCTTTGTATAAGGACACCAGTCATCGCACTAGGGGCCTACTCTACTTGTGTTAGTGTCTGGGGGCTGCCCTAACACGATACCACACACTGGGTGGCTTAAATGTCAGAAATTCATTTTCTCACAGTTCTTTCCCGAGGCAAGAAATCCAGGATTGAGGTGTTGGGAGGTTTGGTTTCTCCTGAGCGCTCTCTCGCTGGCTTGCAGATGGCCGCCTTCTTGCTGTGTCCACACATGGCCTTTGTGTGTGTGTGTGTGTGTGTGTGCCTCCCTGAGCATGTCTCCAAGTCTGCCCAAATTTCCTCTTCTCACAAGGACACCAGTCAGATGGGGGTAGGGCCTACCCTAACGGCCTCATTTTAACTTAATCATCTCTTGAAAGATCCTGTTTTCAAATACAGTCACATTCTGAGGTAGTAGGGATTTGGGCTTTACCATATGGATTTGGGGAAGACACAGTTCAACCCATAAACCTAACCGTGAGGAAACTTCACGAACAAGCAATCAGAAGTAGGATGGCCCCAAGACTGATTAATTCTGTGACTTGGTGATATCACCAAGGATTTGGGTCTTTCCATCTCTGCTCTGCCCTTCTTAACACTGGCATCATTTTTAAGCCTAGTATCCTTCCTGGTCTGGCTCCAGTGTCCCAGCAGTTACCTTCGGAGGGAAAGGACACTTTGTCACATATTTTTTATTAAGAGCGAGGAAACTTCTCAGAAGCCCCAGAGCAGACTGCCTCTCGAACACCTAATACTCCAGGGCTCCCAAGCCGCCCCTAACCTGCCTCAGGCCAGGTACTGGGTTACCCTAACTGGATTGACGGGGCATCACACTACCATAGGAGCCAGGTTGAGCACATGAGTGCGTGGAAGAAGCATGGAGACTTGGACAAAGTGGGAGCTCTGCCAGGAAGGGAAGTGAAGAGATGGGTGCTGGGAGGCAACCAACCATGTCTGTTCCATCTGCTTGATATATTTTGAAATCTGCTTTTGCTCAACCTGCCTGGACTTCACCTACCTGGGAGTATTACCTAGCTGGCTGAAAGGTGAGAATTCATAATTAACCAAAGACCAAAAACTGGTATGGCGAGGTTGATGGATCCGACCAACGACATCTTTTATTCAACAGGGAACCTATTAGAACTTTATAATCTTACTCTACACACAGTTGTACCAAGTGTGGTTATTCCACTAACAGCTTCTTAACATATTGGAAGGGAACCATACTGAGTCAGCAATCATAGTCAATGCTAATATTACATAAGTCTATCTCAGACCCTTTTCTAATTGCTTTACATAGATTAATCCTTAAAACAACTTTCTAAGGCATAGCCTATTAATAACCTTTTACATATGGAAAATGGGAGAGCCAAGAGATGACATAACGTGTGTCCAGTCCATGTCCTGACGCACCTTCTGTGTGGTAGGGCAGACAGGGCTTGGGCTCTGGATGGGCTTGAGTTTTAATCCAAGTACCACCACTTACTACTTTGCTGTGACCTTGGTCAAGTTACCATTGTTCTCTAAGCTTTAGGTTCATCGTGTCTGAAATGAAAATCATGACACAAGTCCCCTCGTAAATTAATTATGAGTATCAGATGACCTAGCGTATGAAGCTGCTTAACATCGTACCTGTCACATACTCAGCTCTCAGGAAGTGTGAATTATTGTGTAGAGAACTGAGCTAATAGCCAAATTAAAAAGCACATGATGACAATGAGCAGCCAAAGAGGAGAAAAAAAATAGTGTAAAATGTAACTCTGATGAAAAACAGTCATCTGGGACTGTTTGATGTAGCATAGAACAGTCTGTGCCTTTCAGTAGGCCCTGAGAGTATCACCAAATTAAAACAGAATTCTAGTGTAAATATTCATAATCATGAAAATGATCCTGAATGATCTATAAAATACTCAGTTGTGTTCAGTATAAGCTAACCAAACAGGGGAGAATATATTGCAGAATTTAGGTGTTAATGTTTTTTTTAAGAACCAATCTGAATCTTGCAGGTGGTTTTTTTTTTACCCCCTTTTTAATTTGGCCACCAAAAATGCAAGAAATGTCAACTCTGTTTTAATCACTGTGCAGGATTCTATTTCTTGCATATCTGCACCTGCTACCTCTTTCCCTGACTTTATATATTAGTCCGTGTTCCCTGAATCGGGTTTATTTCTGTTCTTCATTTTTTTTTAATTTAATTTTATTTTTCCATGTTATGTTAGTCACCATACATCATTAGTTTTTGATGTAGTGATCCATGATTCATTGTTTTCATATAACACCCAGTCCTCCATGCATTATGTGCCCTCCTTAATACCCATCCCCAGGCTAACCCATCCCTCCACCCCCTCCCCTCTAAAACCCTCAGTTTGTTTCTCAGAGTCCATAGTCTCTCATGGTTCATCTCTCCCTCCAATTTCCTCCCCTTCATTTTTCCCTTCCTTCTCCTAATGTCCTCCATGGTATTCCTTATGTTCCACAAATAAGTGAAACCATATGACAATTGACTTTCTCTGCTTGACTTATTTCACTTAGCATAATCCCCTCCAGTCCCATCCATGTTGATGTAAAAGTTGGGTATTCATCCTTTCTGATAGCTGAGTAATATCCCATTGTATATATGGACCAAATCTTCTTTATCCATTCATCTGTTGAAGGGCATCTCAGCACTTTCTACAGTTTGGCTATTGCGGACATTGCTGCTTTGAACTTTGGGGTACATATGGCTCTTCTTTTCACTACATCTGTGTCTTTGGGGTAAATACCCAGTAGTGCAATTGCTGGGTCATAGGGTAGCTCTATTTTTTATTTTTTGAGGCACCTCCACACTGTTTTCCAAAGTGGCTGTACCCAACTTGCATTCCCACCAACAGTGTAAGAGGGTTCCCCTTTCTCCACAACCTCTCCAACATTTGTTGTTTCTCGCCCTGTCCATTTTTGCCATTCTAACTGGTGTAAGGTGGTATCTCAGTGTAGTTTTGATTTGAATTTCCCTGATGGCTAATGATGATGAACATTTTTTCATGTGTCTGTTAGCCATTTGTATGTCTTCTTTGGAGAAGTGTCTGTTGATGTCTTCTGCCCATTTTTTGACTGGATTATTTGTTTTTTGGGTGTTGAGTTTGAGAAGTTCTTTATAGATCTTGGATACCAGCCCTTTATCTGTAGTATCATTTGCAAATATCTTCTCCCATTCTGTGGGTTGCCTCTTTGTTTTGACGACTGTTTCCTTTGCTGTGCAGAAGCTTTTTGTCTTGACGAAGTCCCAAAAGTTCATTTTTGCTTTGTTTCACTAGTCTTTGGAGATGTATCTTGAAAGAAGTTGCTGTGGCCGATGTCAAAGAGGTTACTGCCTGTGTTCTCCTCTAGGATTTTGATGGATTCCTGTCTCACATTGAGATCTTTCATCCATTTTGAGTTTATCTTTGTGTATGGTGTTAGAGAATGGTTGAGTTTCATTCTTCTGTGTATAGCTGTCCAATTTTCCCAGCACCATTTGTTGAAGAGACTGCCTTTTTTCCATTGCATATTTTTTCCTGCTTTGTTGAAGATTATTTGACACCATTCTAACTGGTTCCATATCTGGGCTCTCTGTTCTGTTCCATTGGTGTATATGTCTGTTTTTGTGCCAGTATCATTCTGTCTTGGTGATCACTGCTTTGTAATATAGTTTGAAATCAGGCAACGTGATGCCCCCAGCTTTGTTTTTCTTTTTCAGCATTTCCTTGGCAATTCGGGGTCTTTTCTGATTCCGTACAAATTTTAGGATTGTTTGTTCCAGCACTTTGAAAAATGTCATTGGAATTTTGATCGGGATGGCGTTGAAGGTATAGATTGCTTTGGGTAGCATAGACATTTTAACAATGTTTATTCTTCCGATCCATGAGCATGGAATGTTTTCCATCTTCTTGTGTCTTCTTCAATTTCTTTCATGAGTGTTCTGTAGTTCCTAGAGTATAGATCCTTTACCTCTTTGGTTAGGTTTATTCTGAGGTATCTTATGGTTTTTGGTGCTATTGTAAATGGAATCGTTTCTCTAATTTCTCTTTCTACAGTTGCATTGTTAGTGTATAAGAAAGCAACCGATTTCTGTGCATTGATTTTGTATCCTGCCACATTACTGAATTGCTGTATGAGTTCTAGTAATTTGGGGGTGGAGTGTTTTGGATTTTCCACATAAAGTATCATTGTCATCTGCGAAGAGAGAGAGTTTGACTTCTTCTTTGCCAATTTGAATACCTTTTATTTCTTTTTGTTGTCTGATTGCTGTTGCTAGGACTTCTAGTACTATGTTGAACAATAGTGGTGAGAGTGGGCATCCTTGTCGTGTTCCTGATCTTAAGGGAAATGCTCTCAGCTTCTCCCCTTTGAGGATGATATTCACTGTGGGTTTTTCATACATGGATTTTATGAACTTGAGGAATGTTCCCTCTATCCCTATATTCTGAAGACTTTTAATCAGGAAAGGATGCTGTATTTTTTCAAATGCTTTTTCTGCATCAATTGAGAGGACCATATGCTTCTTCTCTCTCCTCTTATTAATGTGTTCTATCACATTGATTGATTTGCGAATGTTGAACAACCCTTGCATCCCTGGGATAAATCCCACTTGTTCGTGGTGGATGATCCTTTTAATGTATTGTTGGATCCTATTAGCTAGGATTTTGTTGAGGATTTTGGAATCCCTATTCATCAGGGATATCGGTCTGAAATTCTCCTTTTTGATGGGGTCTTTGCCTGGTTTGGGGATTAAGGTAATGCTGGCCTCATAGAATAAGGCTAGGAGGATAGGTATTATTTATTCTTTGAATGTTTGGTAGAATTACCCAGGGAATCCATCAGGCCCTGGACTCTTGTTTTTTGGGAGGTTTTTGATCACTGCTTCAATCTCGTTACTGGTTATTGTCTGAATCTATTCAGGTTATCAGTTTCTTCCTGTTTCAGTCTTGGGAGTTCATAGATTTCCAGGAAGGCATCCATTTCTTCCAGGTTGCTTAATTTATTGGCATATAGTTGTTGATAATAATTTCTAGTAATTGTTTCTATTTCCTTGGTGTTAGTCGTGATCTTTCCCCTTTCATTCATAATTTTATTAATTTGGGTCCTTTCTCTTTTCTTTTGGATAAGTCTGGCCAGTGGTTTATCGATCTTATTAATTCTTTCAAAGAACCAGCTTCTAGTTTTGTTGATCTGACCTACTGTGTTTCTGGTTTTAATTCAATGATCTCTGCTCTAATCTTAATTATTTCTCTTCTAATGAGTGGCTGAGGCATCATTTGTTGCTTTTTCTCTAGTTCTTTAAGGTGTAAAGTTAGTTGCTGAATTTGGGATTTTTCCTTTTTTTTGAGTGAGGCTTGGATGACTATGTATTTCCCCCTTAGGACCGCCTTTGCAGTATCCCAAAGGTTTTGGACCAATGTGTTTTCATTCTCATTGGTTTCCATGAATTGTTTAAGTTCTTTGATTTCCTGGTTGACCCAAACATTCTTGAGCAGAGTGGTCTTTAGCTTCCAAGTGTTTGAATTTCTTCCAAATTTTTTCTTGTGATTGAGTTCCAGTTTTAAAAAGCATTATGGACTGAGAACATGCAGGGAATAATCTCAGTCTTTTGGTATCAGTTGAGGCCTGATTTGTGACCCAGTATGTGGTCTATTCTGGAGAAAGTTCCATATGCACTCGAGAAGAACGAGTATTCTGTTGTTTTAGGGTGGAATGTTCCATATATATCTATAAGGTCCATCTCGTCCAGTGTGTCATTCAAAGCTCTTGTTTCTTTGTTGATTTTCTGCTTAGATGATCTGTCCATTGCTGAGAGTGGAGTATTGAGGTCTCCTACAATTAACGTATTTTTATCAATATGACTGTTTTGGTTAACAGTTGGCTTATGTAGATGGCTGCTCCCATGTTGGGGGCATAGATATTTACAATTGTTAGATCTTCTTGTTGGCTAGACCCTTTAAGAATGATATAGTGTCCTTCTTTGTCTCTAACTACCGTCTTTAGCTTAAAATCAAATTTGTCTTTTATAAGAATTGCTACCCCAGCTTTCTTTTGAGGTCTGTTGGCATAGAAGATGGAACTCCATCCCTTCACTTTCAGTCTGGATGTATCTTTAGGTTCAAAATGAGTCTCTTGTAGACAGCATATGGATGGGTCCTGTCTTTCTATCCCATTTGCAATCTTGTGCCGTTTTATGGGAGTATTTAGGCCATTCATGTTGAGAGTTATTATTGAAAGATACGAATTTATTGTCATCATGTTGCCTGTGAGGACCTTGTTTTTATAGATTGTCCCTATAAATTTCTGTTGTATATCACTCTTGGGGTCTTTCTCCTTTTATAGAACCCCCCTTAATATTTCTTGCAGGGCTGGCTTAGTGGTCACATATTCTTTCAGTTTCTGCAGGTCTTGGAAGCTCTGCATCTCTCAATTCACTCTAAATGACAGCCTTGCCAGAGAAAGTATTCTTGGCTGCATGTTCTTGTCGTTTAGTACCCTGAATATGTCTTGCCAGGCCTTTGTGGCTTGCCAGGTCTCTGTGGATAGGTCTGACGTTATTCTGATGTTCCTCCCTCTGTATGTAAGGAATCTCTTCCCCCTAACTGCCCTTAAGATGGTTTCCTTGGTTCTGAGATTCATGAGTTTTACTATTACATGCCAGGGCGTTGGCCTGTTTTCCTTGATCTTGGGAGGGGTCCTCTCTACCTCTAGGACAGGAATGTTTGTTTCATTCCCCAGATTAGGGAAGTTCTCAGCTATGATTTGCTCAGATATATCTTCTAGTCCTCTCTCGCTCTCCACCCCGTCAGGGATCCCAATAATTCTGACATTGGAATGTTCCATGGTGTCACCTATTTCTCTGATTCTATTTTCATGGATTTTGAGTTGTTTTTCCCTGGTCTGCTCTTTTTCCTTCTTGTCTGTTAATTGGTCTTCTAGATCAGTAATTTGTTCTTCTGCCTCACTTACCCTAGCTGTTAGATTATCTAGATTAGATTGGATCTCATTGATAGCATTTTTAAGTCCTGCCAATTCAGCTTTCACTTCCGGCCCTTAGGGATTCTATGTTGCCATTAATCAATTTCTCCATTCTAGCTATTGTCTTCACAGTTGCTACTCTGAATTCCATCTCGACATCTTGGTTATATCTGTATCCATTTGTAAATCTGTGGCAGAAGTAGTCACAGTCTCTGAGTCTTTTCTATTTTGGGGGTGCCTCCTCCTAGTCATTCTGCTGAGGGGTGGTTGAGGGAATGTACAGAGTCCAAAATTATTGACCACAACCCAAGCAAGACGCACCTGTTTTATAGGGACCTTAGGGTTGTTGGCCTCTTGTTCTCCCACCCTGTCTCCTGGGGGAGGGGTCTGCCGCACTGTTACTCAGGCATCCCTGTTGCCCTGCCCCCTGTGGTGGGGGATGGGCTCAGTAAAAACCGGTTTTGGGGGGCTTTTGTTCTCTGGTGGCTTTCCCTGGCAGCTTTCCGCATCTCTTCTGAGAGTCAGAGCAGAAGAGACCATTTCCAACTCTCTGCCTCAGAGTGGAGAGATCGCAGTCTGTTCTTCAGTGAGCTCTCCAGGCCACACTATATCCATTTGTGTCTGTGCTGCTATAAACTGCAGTGTCCTGGGTTGTGCGCCCCTGCACATGGCTCCCAGTCCGCCTCCAGGTCGGAGCATGTCTCTGCCCTTTGTGCTTCTAAAACCTCCAGCCGCCCCCAGTTCGCACACATGGCCCCACTGCTCTGGTTTCCGTCTAAAGTCCTTTCCCTGCCGTTACCGGTCTGCAAGTCTGTGCCCCGTCCCCAGTGCAGGAGGCTGTCACTCACCGGTGATGTAGGATCCTCATGGCCAGGCACCCTCCCGCTGCCGTTTACCCTCCAATATCTGCCCGCGGAGTCACAGCTCCCCACTTCGTACCTGGGAACCAACCGCCTGTGAGATTCTGTTTGTAGAGATCTAGATATACTTTCTTACATCTCAGGCTGATTTCATGGGTGTTCAGAGTGGTCTGGTAGATATCAGCTCAATTCCGGGGACCGGTCAGAAGAGGGTCCCCTACTCCTCCGCCATCTTTTCCCCTCCTCCTCTGTTCTTCATTTTATTTTATTCCCCTAAGCCACCTCAAATTTGTTGTGAAACAATAAAGTATATAAGTAAGTCACTAATTTTCAAAGCAGAAGCATTGCTATAGTTTTTTTTTTTTTTTAACAAAACAATGCATAATATGTTTGACAGTACTTTGGACTTAGGAATATTTCACTTAAAATCACTGTTTCCTGCCATTGGGTCTCTCCCCATGCAGAACTCCTTTAGTCTAAATTCTGCCCTAATCGTTTGGCCACTTAATCTTACCCAGCCAAGGCACTGCTCCCAACTTTGATTTATGTGTGGCTTGACTTTTCAAATGTTTTGTCAGCTCCTAGAGAGTGGTGGACGGTTTCTTAAACTTTTATTGGATTCCCTGGTATGCCTAACATGGGGTTGGACAGATTGTAGGTACTCTGTGAAAGGGGCTTTGGCTAGTACTTAAGTTGGAAAAGATAAATCCATTGCTTATGCTACTGCATTTTGATGGTACTACCCATTTGCTCTCCTCAAGTTATGATGTCTGAACTCTGACAACTCAAAACTGAAAATCAGGTAAGATCTCTCCTACCGAGTGTGAACTTGAGTTAAGAATTCTTTGGATCTCAATTCTCAAATGACTGTGTTGCTTAAGATAGAAAATTTTGGAATGCCTCTCTTTCTGACTTTTCTCTCATTCTGTCCTTCTCCCCCTCCCCCCCCCCCCCACAGAGAGTTGTGGTTCACACATCAGAGACAACTCGTCTCAGATATTTCGTAGAGTTGCTGCTTGAGAAAGGACAACCCCTAATGCTGGTAGGAAATGGTGGGGTGGGAAAGACAGCCTTTGTAGGTGATACACTGGCAAGTCTCTCTGAGGATTACTTCGTGTCCCATGTGCCTTTCAACTACTATACAACATCTGCAGCTCTGCAAAGTAAGTGTTCTCCTGCTTATATTTTAGAAACAAGGCATCAGAAACTGTCAAGGCTGGGGCATGTAGCTGGAGGGGACGACTACTTTCTCTAGGCTTTAGACCATTTTGCTTTGGCCTCAGATGAATTTTTACTTACCACCAATCTGGGTAAAATATACTTTGTTTCAGTATTGTGATTTTGGCTTTTTATATCACTAGTGGCTATATTTCACTTATTACTGTTCAGAACAGCAAGAATCGACATCAGCAGTGTTCATTGCTTTGCCTCTACAGAGTTTGACCACCTTTAGTCAATTTTATGGAGCCCTAGCAACATAACGGTGTCCACAAGGAAGAGTGTCCTGGTTACCTTTTCAAGTAATGGATTGATTTAGGAGAACTTCATTAAAACTGTATTGATGAAATGCCAGGCCATGAGCTGTTAATTAAATCTTAGGAAAATTGTAAGAATAATTTTAGCCTTTGAATAAATATATCGGTGTAAACAAAAGAACCAAACAGATTTGGGGCATTCTGAGTTAGGAGGGGCAAGCTAAGTAGACATGGGAAGTGAAGGAGATAGTGTAGAAAGAGCTGCTATTTGTAGGTCTGTCACTATCCAGGAAAGTGTCAGGGTTATGTTGGTGGTGGGGGCAGTGAAACTCCCTATTATCTAGTAGTTGATTAAACCTATTGAGTTGCCTTGATTGTGGTTTCTGTGTGTATGTGTGTGTGTATGTGTGCACATGGTCATGCACATCGGTATATGTTGTTACTGCTTTCCTAGCTTTATCAGTAGAGGTTAATAATAAATTTTCTTACTGACTGACATCATTAACTCAGCCAAGAGTGATTTTTTGTAATCTCTTAATGAGGTTTGTCTTTCTTGACCTCATGAATGGAACAGTTAAAAAAATCCAACTTGAAGATGTTTCATTTAATTCTTTAGCAAATTTATATTATTTATCTATTTTTCCCAAGGCATTGTGTCCAGTGCATGTTTTTCATTCACAGACACAGAAGGAGGGATCACTTTATCACTTGTAAATGGAAGATTAGGTCTACAATTCAATAATCGAACAAAATACTTCACTGTACTATAAGTTCATCTTGCTAATTCCTGAAAGGGTACAGGCATGGTGTAAGATTTAGACATTGCCTGTTAGCACAACAAATAGACCAGTGTACTTGAAAGATTTGGGTTTCAGACCTTCAGGATGGGGTGTAATGCAGGCAAAGATAGGATTTGAGATAGAAAAATGAGTGTAAGCAAACAGAGGAAAGAGAAAATTAAAGAAGACATGCAATTAATTGAATCTCTAAGTTGGCTGAAGCACAGAGATGGGGTAGAACATAGGGAAAAGGTTACAGTGGTGCATTGGAGCTAGACTAGATAGAAGGCCCAACTGTTAGGTTTGCCATGGAGTGAGGGGATTTCTGGGACATGAGATTTTTATTGTTAAAATCAGGATAGTTCAGGGGGTCTGGGTGGCTCAGTGGCTGACTGAGCTGACTCTTGGTTTTGGCTCAGGTCATGATCTTGTTGTCATGAGATTGAGGCCCTAGTTGGGCTCTGCACTGAGTGTGGAGCCTGTTGGAGATTCTCCTCTCCCCTCTGCCTTCTCACTGCCACCCCACCACCATTCCAACTCACATGTGTGCTCTCTCTCTCTCTCTCAGAAAACAAATAAACAAACAAACCAGGATAGCCACAGGCAATGTGGAATGGTCACTATAACTGTAGAACGAGCTAAGATGCAAGCTGAAGAGAATGTATTTCCTTTGGTAGGAAATGGCGAGCCATTTATGGGGAGCAAGGATGCAGGCTGTCCTTTGGGAGGAGATGTCTGAGGTGGGGAGACCAGTCCCCCTGGGTAGTGTACCAGCTGAATGTAACATTGCTCTGACTAAAATGGTAGAAAGAGTGGTGAAAGGGAAGAGACATGAGGTACCATTTACAGGCTGTAGTCAGGCAGATCTGGGACCAGGAGAGAAAGATGATACTAAAGCTTGGCACCTGGCTAAGAGTGTTAATCGCACAAAGAGGAGCACAGAAGGGAAAAAGGAAGAGATGGGTTGTGCGTGGGCAAGAGGCTTGTTTGGTGTGGGCCAAACATCCAGGCACCAGTGGCCGGTAGGAAGCACGCATTTGGAAGTGCCAAGCCACTGCTTGGAAGAGGGCTTTGTTAATTTATTCCTGATGCACTTCTTTGTTCTTTCATTCATTTAACAAATGGCTTATTGTGGTTGTCATCGGGAATACAGTCATGAACACGATGCAGTTCCTTGTCCTCAAGCTACTCATAGTCTATTCGGAGGGCCAGCAATTATTAGACACTCTGTCTTACACACACTCGGTTCAGGATTTCCTACTCCCAACACAGTCACTGAGGCACATGAGGAAATGTAAGTTAATGTGTGCACAGGATAGAGTCTGTGTACAGCCTTCCCTTACACTTGTGCCCTTGGATGACCCAAGAAGAGAGGTATGGGGACTCTCTGTTGTGCGTAGGTACCTCTCCTGCAGGGCTGATAGGGAAGGACAGAGGGAGCAGACCGTGGGTTAGAGTGTGTTCAGGCGGCAAACCATTCAGACCAGCAGCAGTGTTGCCTCGGATTGCTGGCCAGTGTGATGTCGTGTGTCAGATGTTGACTCTCCAGGAAAGGAGAGGTGAGGTGAGCTGCCAATAGGAGGGAGGCTGGCAGGAAAGCATGACACAGAGGAGGTGACCAGAGGGTCATCACTGATACTGAACTGCACAGAGTTAATACTTGAAGACTTAGGAGTGGATGAAATGGACAGAAGATGAGGAAAAACGAGGAAAAAAAAAAAAAGACGAAGGACAGAAAGTGACATTTTATCTGATCGTTGGGCAAAACGATGCATTTGTTTCAGGAATTCTTGAGAAACCTCTAGAGAAAAAGGCTGGTCGGATCTATGGTCCAGGAGGAAATAAAAAATTAGTTTATTTCATCGACGACATGAATATGCCCGAAGTGGACCCCTATGGCACAGTGCAGCCCCATACTCTGATTCGGCAGCACGTCGATTACGGACACTGGTAAGCGATTCTCTGTGTCTTCTTCTCTACTGAAATCTAATTATTGTTATTGTGGATGAATGCCGAAGAATGAAACTACCCCAATTTCTTCTGAGGAGGAGGAGCATTTTCTGGGATAACTTTTAGGTTTCGTTTTACATCCCCCTTTCATCATCATAAATGCTGTAGGTTCCGTTTGTATCTTCGGAAGAATTGGATTGAAAAGTGTCTTAGATATATTACTGTCTAGTTGAAGCATTAAACTCTCAGATATGTTAACTCGCGCTAAATTACTTCAGACACCTAGCCTTATTCTGTGGGATGTAGCTGTTGGGTAATGTCTGGGCCTTGCAGTGTGTCCATCCCTGCCGTTAAGTAGAGGGAGAGCCCCCAGCCTTGCTGTGGATATTGCTCACCAGAAATAGTCACGTGGGAATCAGTAAGCAGGAACAGTAGGTATTGACTCAGTTCCTTATGTTGATTCGGGCATCAGAAGAGCTATGTAGCCTTCCATTTTCTAAGCTTTAGTTTTCGTGTCTCTGAGTTGAGGCTAACACGCCCAGCATCACAGAGAGATTATAAAAATCAAGGGAGACAGTTTGTGAGGAAGTCCTTCATAAACTGGGGGATTTTGTTGTGTTGTCATCTTCAGGTTTTGGACTTAAGGTTCTGTTTCCGGGTTTTCAGGTATGATAGACAGAAGGTGATGCTTAAGGAAATCCACAGCTGTCAGTACATCGCCTGCATGAATCTGATGGTGGGCAGTTCCACGATCAATCCTCGACTACAGGTAGGATGTGGAGTCCTGCTTTCGCCCACATAGGCCCTGAGTAAAACCTCAAACATTATAGATTGTGATTCTTGAAGCTTTTCGTACAAACTAGGGCTCCTACTGGACTTTTGTTGGAAGCTTTTTTTTTTTTAATTATTTTTTTAAGAGCAGGTACAGGTTTACAAACTGTTTCAGCAGTTTTAGTTGAAAGGACTGCAAAGAGTTCCCTTAATACCTTCTCACCCTCCTCCCACCTCACTTTACCCTATTATGAGCATATTGCATTAGTGTCCTGCATTTATTACAGTTGATGAACCAATATAAATTCATTATTATTAACCAAAGTCCAAAGTTTACATTAGAGCTCATTCTTTGTGTTGTGTCTTCTGTGGATTTTGGCGAATACATAATGCCAGGTATCCACCATGAAAATACCATACAGAATAGTTTCACTGTACTAAAAATCTCCTGTGCTCCACCTAATCATCCATCCCCCCACTCCTGAATCCCTGTCAACCAGCTGATCCTTTTATTGTCTCCATAGTTTCACCTTTTCCAGAATGTCACACATTTGAAATCCCACAGTATGTGGCCTTTTCAGATTGGCTTCTTGGACTTAGCTTAAATACACATTTAAGGTTTTGCCATGTCTTTTCATGGCTTGATAACTCTTTTTTTTTTTTTTTAACCACTATGTAATATTCATTGTATTGGTGTACCAGTTTGTTTATCCATTCACCTATTGAAGGATGCCTTGGTTATTTCCACATCTTGGAATTATGAATAAAGCTGATAAAAATATTAATGTGCATGTTTTATGTGTACATATAAGCTTTTAATAATAATAACCCCCACCAACTATAACACACAAAAAACAACAGTATACAACAGTAAGTGTTGGTTAAACCCTTATCTGGAATCAGCTGGGGGTCGGCTGGGTGACTCTATCAGCGAATCTATGGTAGCTTTGACTAAAGTGATAGGGACAGGGTGGCTCAGTTTCATGTGTCTTTCATCCGTTAATAGGCTTGTACAGTCCATGGCAAAGGTAGGGCCTTAAGAGAGCAAGTGGAAACACAGAGGCTTCTGACAATGACTGGCACAGTGTCATTTCCGCCTCACTCTGTTAGCTCAATCGAGTCCTATAGCCAGGCACAGAGTCAGAGAAAGGTACCACAGTGACATGGCAGGGGGCATGGAATACAGGAAGGGTTAAAAAAAAAAAAAGCCTTTTTTTGCAATCTAATGGTTCCATTATAATCCCTATTATATGTAACTCTTACATTTCTTTTGTTTTGTTTTTCAGAGACATTTCACTGTGTTTGCATTCAACTTTCCATCCTTGGATACGCTGCAAACCATCTATAGCCAAATTCTTAACTTCCACTTTCAGCAGCAAGCCTTTGGTCCATCACTTCTCAGGAGTGGCCCCTCTTTGATACAGGCAACAATCACGTTCCATCAGATGATGACACATAGCTTTTTACCCACAGCTGTTAAATTCCACTACGTCTTTAATCTGAGAGACTTATCAAACGTCTTCCAGGTACCTTGGTGGCTCTGGGTTATGCATCTTGGGTGGAGGAATGATTTTGGTAAGATTAATGGTGTTCAGTTACGGAACTTAGTTCAAGGTGATGCTGTGTACTGTTGTGTGTATTCTTGGGTGTTACACCATAAACTTCTCTGTAAAGTCTATATGGCAGGTTTATTCTCATTTTACCGATGGGACTCGTGGATTCTCTCAAGTGCAGAGACTTAGCTGCAGAAGCAAGGGTAGAAGTCTGACTCCCTGTTCTCTGTATTCCATATAAATATCTGAGTGCCTCATTTTGGGCCAAGTGAGGAGGATCATTTGTTATTTATTCATATTTATACGATATGATTTTTAAACATACATCAAGAGAAACGTCACAATTTCTTACACCATTGGATTATTTTTACTTGACCTTGACACCTATTGGCTTACCTGGTAAAAGGACAGTGTTTCTGTATTTGGTTTGTAAGGAAATTCCAAAGAGGGAATTGAAACCGGAATTTAAAAAAAAAAAAAAAAATCAACTGGTGTGCTCTACCCTCCACAGAAAAAGCAGTTAGAGGGTTATTTATGGCCTGAAGTTCTTTTGTGAGAGGAGTAGTGGAGAATTTCAGGAGGCTTTATCTTTGGTGATTTTTGCTTCTTTATATTTTTATAACCCTCTTTTCTAAATCACTCTGCAAATGCCCTATAACCATAACACTGTGTCAGACAACAGATTCCTGAGACCAAGCTTCCACTCGTTCTCATCGCTGTATTTTTAGCACCTGCTGGAGTGACTGTGCTCAATACAGTGTTGTTTAAAAGCTGATTTTTTTAAAAATTATTTATTTATTAGAGAGCATGAGAGAGGAGGCAGGGGAGGGGCAGAGGGAGAGGGTGAGAGAAAATCTCAAGTAGATGGCATACTGAGCACAGAGGTGGACACGGGTCTCGATCTCATGGCCCTGAGATCGTGACCTGAGCCGAAATCAAGAGTCAGACGCTTAACTGACTGAGCCACCTAGGGGCACCAAAGCTGATTTTTAATCTTAGGGAAAAACAGGAAGGAAAGCCATAGGTGACACGGGATGAGAGGCTTGCTCACCGCTATGTCCAGTCTGTCAGCTACACCTCATGCCACCAAACAGTTGTTGAAGCTTTGTAACTACTTGCCTCCAACTCTCTGTGTCTCTTCGAAGTCCAGAGCCAGCTGACTCTTTCCCGAAGGATTGGGTCTATGAATCCAAGATACTGAAGGGTAGTATTGAAGGGAGGGGGGGCAGTCAAAATGTTTTAGGGCTAGTTCCAGATCTACCCACAAAGTGTGATTTCAGACAATTTACTTTTGGTCTCATATTCTTCATCTGCTAAATGGAAGGGTTAGATTAACAGATATCAAAGGATTTTAGGATAAAAAGGAATGTTGATCCTGTGACATTCATGTTAGCTCTTTGTCCTTTGGGAAACTTCATCTGTTGGGAGACATAAACACAAGCCCTCAGACGAGCTATTTATTTCCTGGGCTGGCTTGTAAAATACAGTCTTAACCTATATTCTGAAACTGGGTATAATGATATTCGGGTTTTTAAGATGTTACTTCTCAGAGAGTAAAACTACTATTATAATAATTCTACTTACGGTAATTCTTCTAACTTAATAAATTGCTGAATTTAGTATACAGTTAAAATGTTAAAGGAAAATACTATTGTAGAATGTCACCAGTTTCCGAATTTTTAATTGTTCCCGTTCTTGCCTTGTAGGGCATTTTATTTGCTTCTCCTGAATGTTTAAAATGTCCAAATGATTTAATCCGCCTGTGGCTTCACGAGTCTTCTCGTGTTTATGGAGACAAACTGGTAGACCCAAAGGATTGTGATTTGTTTCAGAAAAAAATGCTGGAAACTGCCTGTAAATATTTTGAAGTAAGTGTGTGGGATGTCCAAGGTCACTCTTTGCTCTGGCACTAATCAGCGTTGGGGCAGAGTCAGCTAAGGATGTGAACAAATTGGGCACGTGCTTACCTTGCTGGAACAGCCATGATTCCAGAATATACTCGGGTCTGTCCTGGGGAACATTCTGCCCAGCGACTCACAGACTGACCTGCAGGTTCTGCCTGTGGTGGGCCACTGTGCTTCCAGATGGCTCATTCTGGATGGCTGACGTGAGCAGATTGTTCTCTCCCTCCTCCTGCAGGGTGTAGACAGTCACGTGCTATTTCAAAAGCCCCTCATCTATTGCCACTTTGCTCACGGCGGCCAAGATCCGTGCTACCTGCCGGTGAGGGACTGGGAGGTGCTGAAGACCGTCCTCACGGAAGCCTTAGCCAACTACAATGAACTGAATGCTGCCATGCACCTGGTCTTATTTGAAGACGCCATGCAGCATGTGTGAGTTGACCAGTCACGATTCTTTCTCTCAGAGTAAAAATGGCGAGGTCTCCACAGTCATTGTGCTTCTGTGCAGCATACTCAGTACTCCAAGCTCGCAGCTCCTGTCTCTTGTTTGCCATACAGTATAAAACTGCAAGTGTCTAAGTTACATCCTAATCTTAATCATGTCTGAGGCCAGTACACTACTTTCTGAAGCATCGTCACAGCCATAATTTCATTTTATTTCACTGTAGCCCTGATAGGTAAGAAGATTGAGAAAGAGAAAGGCGTGGGACTCATTCAAAGCCGTAAGGTTCCTAACTGACAGAAACAAGATGAATGGAAATTGCTGGTCATTGATGAAACATGTTTACTGAGTGCCTACTGAGTGCTAAACGGGAACAGTGGCAGCCGATTTACTTCTGGTACAAATTAGTGAAGGAAGGGGGCATGTTTTCTTGGCAGATAATTAGACAGATGCCGCTGTCCTGATGTAGAGCTTGGCTGACAAGGCTCTGGCTCACCTCCTAGACTGGGTGCCTCGTGCAGTGCACAGATAATGCAACCATCCATCGCTCCCTTGCCGTCAGACATTGTTCTAGGTACTGAGGATACAGCAGCAAACAAGATAGTCTAGTCCTTATTCTAGTTGAGCTTACATTTTAGTGATGCTGATGAACTTTTATAAAGACATAAGCAAGCAAGGTGGCAGGAAGTGATGTGTCATGCTGAGAAATAGATCGATTCCGAGAAATAAATATGTGCAGTCCCATAAAAGGCCTGGGTATCTCTATGAGGAGGTGACATTTAAGGTAAGATCAAATGGTAAGCAGGAGCGAAGCCTGGAAAGACCTGGAGGAAGAACATTCTAGGCAGGGGCATATTTCATGGGGCCCCAAGGCTGAATGTTCAAAAACAGAAAAGGGGTCGTCATGGCTGCAGAATGGAGAAAAAGTGGAGAGAGCAATATTCGACAAGTATGGAGACGCCCGAACGGGTCTTACTGACACAGGGTATTTCCCTATAACCAGAGGAAGGAGTTTCCGTTTTACTCTAAGTGCAGTGAGAAGTTTTTCAACAGATTTTAGCATGGGAATGACGTCATTTGTGGAAGAGTCCAAGCAGCCGGCCCTTGCTGCACCTGTGCGGGCCGTTGGAAGCACTGTCATGTCCGGCACTGCTCCCCTCATCATGATTTGTCACTGGCTCTGTTAGTTTGCTAACGTTGTACTGAAATACCACATACGGGTGGTTTAGAAAAACAGGTACTTATGGTCGCACAGTGGAGGCAAGAAATCTGAAAGAGACGTGACAGAGCCATGCTCCCTCTGCAGATGCTGGGAAGGATCTGTTCCAGAATTCTCTGCGAGCTTCTGGTGGTTCCTTGGCTTGTGGCGGCTTACCTCCAGCCCTCACATGGCCTTCTCCCACTCTGTGTGCCTGCGTCCAAATTTCTCCGTTTTAGAAGGACACCAGTTATCGTGGATAAGGGGCCCACCTTACTGCAGAATGATACTGTCTTGTCTTAACCAATTACTTCCTCAGCGACCCTATTTCCCGATAAGCTTTTATGCAGAGGTAGTAGGGGTTAGGACTTTCATATATGAATTGGGGGGGTTGCCATTCAGTAAGTAACGCTGGACTTTCCAACAAGGGATATTTGGGCAAAGATTAAAATAAGGAAGTCATGGTTAAAAATGAGTCAAGAAAGAAGGAAGTATGGGAAGAAGGAAATTCAAAGAGACACCCCAAAAAGGCAGGTTTCAGTTTTCACGAGTGGCGAAGAAAAACTTGGCAGACCTCCCCATCATGAGTTATTATAAGCATGTGAAGTATTGATTGATTCATCGGTCCCTTTGCAGCTTCCGTCCTCTGATGGCACACACTGGTGGTAGGTAAAGTCTATGACTGCGCTGCTAATTGAAGTATTAGTGTTGCAGTTCCTGCTTGGCTTAGGACACTGACTGTGAATGGGAATCATGGGGCAGGTGAGAGAGACGGCCCATTGCCACCGAGAGCGAGAGTCTTCTCCCCGATCATTCATCGGGGGCTTCTCAGTGGCTTTCAAGAGGAAGGCTGTTGCTTTGATCCGGGATTGTGAGCTCACAACTGATTTACTCAGGGTTAGAGATGATCTCAGAACGCATCCTCAAGGCCTCCTAGGAAGGAACTTTATTGCTTCGAGAATCTGGTGAGGTCCAAACCTCAAAGCATACATTTAAACAAAAGGAAAACTCAGCTTTGTAACTTGGGGTTTCATTTGCCTCAGAGTAATTTCATGGCTTTCCCAAGGTGGTTTTGTTGTATGGTCATGTGAAGTCAACCTCATGGACCTGCCTGAGCCTCTTACGATGACCCGTCTCTTTAGTTATTGACGGTTTGCAGCTGATATGTGCTTGGCCTGGTATAAGTGACCGCAGCCTTGCTTTTCCATGAAGTGCTTTGGTAAAAAATCATCTAGGTGCATCAGTCAAGGCCGGAAGCTTACATTCATTTGAGAAAAGCAACCTAGAACTAACATGATGGTGTCTCATTTGTTGCATTTGGGTATCCGTATCCTTATATTTCAGTTTCTTTCTTTTCTCAGTATTTATAACATAATTATGACCTATTTCTTCATTCAAGATGATAAGGCCAACTTATTCCGAACTGTAAAATGTAGCAATAATATCAGTAGCTCAATCATTCAGAATCTCTTCCACAATATAGAACAAGGGATTAGTTGGCCTTGCTGGATTCTGAAGGTTTCAGTAAATCTCCTGAAAAGTTTCATAAATTTTCTAGAATGCTCGAGGACAGACAAAGCTTTGTTGCAAAGGAAGTAAGAATCCTAGAGGCAAGTGTTGAATCTGCATGAAGTAAATCACATTGAGATGTTTGTTGGCCTAAACAAATCCAGTCTTTGCAAAATAATTCTACAGCACAAGTTTCTGGCATGAAGTCATTCTCCCTTTGATGTTTGGTGCACATGGCTGCTGGTGTAAAATTGGGGTCTTTCTTGCTAGTCAAGAAAACTTGAAGCCTTGCAGAAAGGCCTTGTATATGGACAGTAAGGAAGCAGTGAGAGTCCCGGATGTGATCTCCACAGGGACACTTGGTTGGGCATCCAGTGTGAGGGGCCTCTTTTTCTGACGGGGAAGCAGATGAACAGAGGCTAAAGGTGTAAAATGAAAATTCAGATTTCGTGTCTAGCCGCTTTTCTAAAACATGAAACAGACACCGTTCCTAGGCCCGGCAGTCTTCTGCCATGGTGTGCTGTCTCTGAGCAGGTGTCGCATCAGCCGAATCCTTCGGACCCCTCAGGGTCACGCGCTCTTGGTTGGCGTGGGCGGCAGCGGCAAGCAGAGCCTGTCCCGGCTGGCAGCTTACATCTGCAGCCTCGAGGTCTTCCAGATCGCCCTGACGGAAGGCTTCGCAATCCAGGAACTTCGGGTGAGTGAGAGTGGGAGGCAGCCCGTCTGCCCCCCTGCCTGGCACATAAAGCCTGAGCCGGCCGCGTGCCCACATCGGCTCTGACTCCCAGGTTTGGCCAAGGCTTCCCCAACCAAGAGGGGGAAGACTTTGTGGGGATTTAGTTATATTTGTCTGTTTCTCCTTCATGGTGAATTGAGTAATCATAAAATTTGTTTAAGCGTTTATAGCTATATAAACCTATAAGCCTGCAGACCCAACTCAGAAAATATTTTATTAAATACTTGCTTACAACACGGGGCACCTAGGTGGTGCAGTCAGTTGGGCATCTGACTCTTGGTTTCAGCTCAGGCTATGATCTCGGGGTTGTGGGATCGAGCCCCACATTGGGCTCTGTGCTCAGCGTGGAGTCTGCTTGGGTTTCTCTCTCCTTCTCCCTCTGCCCCACCTCCCTGTGTGCGCTCTCTCTCTCTCTCTCTCGAATGAATAAATCTTTTGAAAAATAGTTTACATGCTTGCTCACAACAAACATGGCTTTTCCTTTGTACTGACCACACCTGCTGTTCAACACCGTTAGTACTCCTGTACGTTGGAGGGGAAGTAAAAGATACTGCCTTTACAAGTCCACTTTGGGTGAATCATGAAAATAAAATGTGGTGAGAATACATTCAAGAAACCCCCGTGTGCTTTTAAAAGTTGGCTTTTTCATCACAACAGTACTTAAAAATAATATTCAGAGTTTGTGGCAAGTGAAATGTGGGTGTAATGCAGCCATTTCAACCCAAAAAAGAAAACAAATCCCATGCTTTCAAAATTATTAAACAAAGCTAAATAAATAACCAAACAAAAACTGTTTTCAATGAAATAGTTGTTGAAATGAGCGGAATCTTCCTTTTACTGCATTGCTTGGCAAGGGCATCACCAAATTCATTTCAGTCTATTCGGAGGGAGGTGTCCACCAGCCGCCGGTTGTCATCCCTATGGTCCATTAAGCCAGGAACATGGCGCTCATCATTAAATGCCAGGAAAGGAGGTGATGTCATGCTGTTTGCCCCCATGTGGGATCACTGAGAGGGAAGAAGGTGTGAATGGGGAAAGCTCTCAAATTATAGTTACTGAGTTCTTCCCAGCCCTCACACACATACTCCCCACGTCACGTCAGCATTTTAACAGCGCATGAATGATGGCCTCCTTTCCTTACAGGTAGATCTTGCCAATTTGTACATCAGAACTGGAGCCAAGAACATGCCCACTGTGTTCCTGCTGACAGATGCCCAGGTTCTAGATGAGAGCTTTCTCGTGCTGATTAATGACTTGCTGGCATCAGGTGATTAAACCAACACATTCCTTGAAAGATGTTCCCCAATGACAAATTATCTGTAGTTGCAGTGAACTTTAAAGAGAGATAATTTGTCTTTGAGATGTTTGCTGGGGCAGTCTTTGGGGAGAAACCTATAAACCTAACTAATTTGAGGTGTATCACTTTCTTAGTCTGCTTACGGATGTGAGGTGCCTTGGAGAAGCCTTCAGTGAAGTAAATGTTATTCCTACACATACGAGCTTAGTGGGTGTGTCTATCAGAGCTTGTCCTCAGTGTGTGGCGTGTCTTGTAAATGCAAAAAAAAAAAACCATTTCTGATTTCAAACTCTTCATCCTTTAAACTGAACTTTGTATGATAGAGCATTGCAAGCACTAAACAGTCCTATCTAAAATTTAAATTGTGACTGTCTTTCAGTAATTCTTCTCATTCCTTTGAGGGCAGGAGAAATCCCGGATCTGTTCAGTGATGAAGATGTAGACAACATAATTTCTGGAATTCGTAATGAAGTTCGTGGTCTAGGCATGGCGGACTCCAGAGAAAATTGTTGGAAATTCTTTCTGGCCAGGGTTCAGCTACAGCTCAAAGTAAGTAACCCTTGTTTACTTGCATAATATTTAAAACCTGCTCTTGGAACTATGACACGGTTCTGTCAGGATTCGTACTATGAGTTTGAATTGCAGCCATTCGTTTTGAAAGGACATTTGCATTTTTACGTGTGCCCACGTTTGGAGTAAACCTTCCTGAAGTTGCCCGTGATGCTGAGCATCTGCAGAACATGGCGCTGAGCAGACAGTGCAGTGCTCGATTGAACTGGACGTGGTCTCTGTCCTGGAGGGGCTGACACTGCTCCAGGAGAGAAGGACCCTCACAAGTAATGATAGTACAGGACTGATGTGCGTAGTGCCGTGGGTTACAGATGAGGGCAGCATCCTTCGCTGCACTGGGCTCTGCTGGAGGAAGCGCTGTGCCATGTGTCGGGCATGGGTTGAAATCCATGGAGAAGCAGTGAGTGGGGGAGGAGCCTTCAGGGAGAGGAAATAGCATTTATGTAAAAGGAAGGTTGGACTGGACAGGACACCTTCAGAGAAACCCTAGGTGGCTCTGGACGACTGGAACACAGGCTTCCTTTGGGGAGAAGGAGGTGGATCAGGCAGGGAAGTAAATTAGGATGAGGTAGGGGGCTGAAAATGACGAAGGGAGGGTTGGCAAGGTTTGAATTACAGAACTGAGGTTTGAATGTCAGAACTTCAAGGCAAGCAATTTAGGTGTATTAACCAGATGCCCTGAGGCTCCCCCGGGAGTTTTTCCCTGCAGATGACTCTGCTTCACTGTGGCTCCTAGAGATATAATGTAACCAAATACTAGCCGCAGTGAAGAGCAAGCACTGTAAGAAATGCCTCCGGACTCATGGCAGGAAGCTCAATTTAAGGCAAAATCCGGCTTCCTGGTGTAGAAATGGTTAGTAACCTAGACAAGTTTCCACTTGGCTGCTACTTCTCGTATCCCTGGTCCGTCAAGCTGGTAACAGGGCCCAGGCAGCAAAAGAGCCTGAACCCCCAGGGAAGGGGGATGGGGGCAGTGCATTAGCTGGGAATATACCTCTCCTTGGAGGTGTGGAGTGTTTGTAAACTGCTCGTCCGCCCTACTCTGTTAAATTCCACATTAATCTTACTGAGCAATTCTGGGCTGATGTTAAATCAGGATTTACGGTTCAGTGGCCCAAAGAGTTTTGTCCCCATCAAAATGTTACTAAGAATATTTTTGCCAGGTCGTACGCAACAAAGCCAGAGATTTCTCCCTGTTCCGTGGCAATACATTTGGATCACATTTTCTTTATGAAATGGAAAAACAAGTTCAATAATAGAATATGAGATGGTAATGTTATAAATCACTGACTATCGAGGTCTGTTCCTCAGAGCAACAGAATCCGCATCACCTAGAAACGTTTTAAAAATGTGGGTTCTCCCCCAGTCCCAGCCCAGACCTCTGGAATCAGAAACATTGCACAGGATGCACAATATATGTTGTAATAAGCTCTCCAGGTAATGCTGAGGCACGCTGAAATTTTGACAACCATTGTTTAAAATAATGCAAGGCTGCCTGGGTGGCTTAATCGGTTAAGCATCAACTCTTGATTCCAGCTCAGGTCATGACCTCAGAGCTGTGAGGTTAAGCCCCATGTGGGCCCTGTGCTGGGGGTGGAGCCTGCTTGAGATTCTCTCTCTCTCCCTCTGCCCCTCCCCACCTGCTCGTTCTCACACACTCTGTCTCTCTGGGGGGAAAAAAAAAAAAAAAGGCTGAAGTAAGTGCCCTTTACATATGTCTTTTATACACACCTTTGCTTGCTTCCATGGGATAAATTCCTAGAAGGGGTATTGCTGGGTCCAATAGTTGCAGCTTAAAATACACCTGCCAGTTCTTTGCCGTGCTTCTTACTCACAGGTAGGGTCTCAGTCCTCTCTTGTTGAATCAGGGTGGGCTTGCGAGCGTAGGACCCCAGGCAGGACGCTGAGGAACTTGGGAGGCTCAGCTCCAAAGGGCCTGCTTTTCCACTGACTTGCACGTGACTTTTTTTTTTTTTATCAGAGTTCTCTGTATACCAAGCAGTTCGTCTTGCATAATGTGTTGCGTCTATTTTTCCGAATATCATTTGTCTTTTAAATGTACATACAGTACGTATTTGTTTATAACTTGAAGAAGTGTTTTCTTTTTAGATTTGGAGGTGCTTATGAATTCATAGCATAGTTTTTCTCTCCAAGATGATAAAACTCAGTAGCTAGAAGCATTTAGAACTCAACTGGGCAGTAAATAAGAAAATATCGAGAAAACTGAAAGACCCATGCTTTCTCGTCTTTCCCTCCTGCCAGCGCTCTTCCTGGTGCCTCCTGCCTCGTGAGCACCACACGAGAGCGGTGGGGTGTGCATTCACAGGAAGGAGGGGGCAGGCAACCTCGGGGCGCTCTGGGTAGGAAACCAAGGCTTCCCCCAAGACCCTAAGCTGACGTCTTGGAGGCCGTGTGTATCACCTGCCACCTCCACCTACCAGGGAGTTGAAGGAAGTGAATTTTTTATCTTGTCACATGGCCTTTATGAATAAAATTAGAAATGGATTTTGGAATAGCAACAGAATCCATCATTCCAGTATCTTTATGTTTTGTGTTTAAAACTTGACTACATCTGGAATATATTATCATACATGGTAGAGAGTGAGTTGAGAGGTTTCAAGTTATTTTTTTTTCCCAAAACGGTATCTTTTTTTTTTTTTAAGATTTTATTTATTTATTTGACAGAGAGAGACACAGCGAGAGAGGGAACACAAGCAGGGGGAGTGGGAGAGGGAGAAGCAGGCTCCCCGCAGAGCAGGGAGCCCGATGCGGGACTCGATCCCAGGACCCTGGGATCATGACCTGAGCTGAAGGCAGTCGCTTAACCAACTGAGCCACCCAGGCGCCCCATAAAACGGTATCTTTTTAATCTTAAAACCATGTATTCCTTCCTTACTGATTTAGAGTAATACATCTATTATATGTCATATTGGGTCTGTTTCTAGATCCTCTATTTTCTTTTCTTGGTAAGTCTCTGTACTACTGATCCCAGCCTTGTACTGTATAAATTATTACGGTTTTGTTACACATTTTTATATCAAGTATCTCACTGTTCTTGTCTAGTTTTTCTTTGTTCTCACATGCCTACACATCTAGAAAAATATCAATCATTTTTTCAAATTCTAAATACATTCCATTTTAATTTTGATTGAAATTGTGCTGATGGCTTATTTTATATTTGGGAGAATTTAATCTTTATTATATAAAGTTTTTATAGAAGGAATATTTCTTTCATAAGGTTTTCTGATGGTATATTGTTTGTATATAGAGAGCTATTGATTTTTAATTTTATAACCCACTCTGTTTATAACCAGCCTCTCTGGTAGTTTCTATTAGTGGGTTGCTATCACATAGCATGCAGGTAATATTTTGTCTTTTTTAATATTCTATTTATCAGCTTTTCTCTAGGTCTTACGTTGGCTCTATCTTGTCAAGGAAGTTTCTATTAAATTCCTTTTCAGTGTCTGTTGAGATGATTATATGGTTTTGCTCCTTGAACTTACTAATATTCATGCAGTACAGATGGATGTACAGAAGTTTTACATTTTATACTGTTTTAAATCCACCAGTCTTGGGGCGCCTGGGTGGCTCAGTCGGTTAAGCGTCCAACTCTTGGTTTTGGCTCCCAGGGTTCTGGGATGGAGCTCTGTGCAGAGCGGAGAGTCTGACATTCTCTCCCTCTGCCCCTCCCCCTGCTTGAGTTCTTTCTCTCTTTCTCCTTCTCTCTCTCTCTCTCAGATAAATCTTTAAACAGTAAAAAATAAATCTATCAGTCTTTCCCTTCACCTGTTTCCTTTGACTCCACTTCAGGAAGACTTCCCAAAGCTGGGACCAGTTTTATGTTCCTCTCTTTTCCGAGACCCCTTTTCAGCATTTACCTCAGTACAAGCTAGAATTTATTTTGGAGTTCAGTATGGATCATTTTCCCCACCTTGTCACAGGATTTCTGATTGAATAATCTCTTTTCTACTAAAATGAGTAGGAGGGTTTTGGGGGGCTTTGTATTGTTTTGGTTTATTTCCTGCTAAGGGGGAATAGGATATTTCCCTCAAACACTCCCAAACCTTCTTGGCCTTGTCACTCAGGTTGCTGCATCATGAGAAGGCATAGTGATCAGCATCTTACCCTGAGGGAGAAATAACATGGCATGAAAGTGGGTCACCCTTTAGCTAGAAAATGGCAACATCTTTCTCTTCAATACATAAATACTACCCTGGCATCTTTAGATTTTTAAAGAATTCTGGCTTGCTCTGTGTCAGTTTCATATGCTGTGATATTCACCATTGTGTACTAACGACTCCGAATTCCCGATGAGCGGATCCTTCTCTTGCATATGTTCCTAGCTGGGCAACATGGGAAGCTAAATGTGTTACAGGGCTGGCGAGCACACCTGGCAGGTCGAGCTCAATGATGTGAAGTTACCACCCCATTACCCATGCTCACCACCCAAAGCCAGTTCCCATTTGGAATGCCAGGGCAGTACGAACCTGTTGGCATGCAAAATGTGACCTCCGAATCTCACAGGGCAGTTCCCATTAATGATGATCAGATGCGAGCCCTTGGATTGCCTGAAGTAAACCAATGAATAAATGCCAAATGCCTTCTCTCCTTCACGTTTGCACACGTGCATCTTTTCCTACGTAATACTCACTTTGCAACTAGAACGTAGTACTTTCATCTTCTCTCCTGTTGATTTTAGTTAACCCAAGACTTTTCTTTCTTGCCTTCCTTCTTGGCCATCTGATGCCATAGGGAAAGGAACACTTAATGAATATAGCAGCCTGTGATTGTTTCCCAAGACTTTAGATACTCATCTGTCTTGTTATGTATCTGTCTATTGAGGGATGTGTGTGTGTGTGTGTGTGCGTGCGCATGCATGTATGTATATGTACATACATACTCATGTGATTCTGTATTTTTAGAGAATGAAACCATCCTTTCTGATGATATAAGATCTATGTGTTCATTGTAGAGAATTA